GGGACACTTCAGAATTGGCACGGATCCCCTCTCAGGTACTTTATAGTGCTTGATATGATACTGTTTTACTTTGTAATAAACATCTTATACAAGCAAGGCGGTGTCAGCGGAGACTTCTTCATCATCTTCGCATCATCGCTATTTAATAAACAACAATGTTAAGGAAAGTTTCGGCAGTTCATACACGTCAGCATCACTGGGGACATACATTACAGAGTCTTATTTGCAATTGTTCCAGTTAAGTAGTTGTATTCATTTCTAAACTCTCAATACAAGTGGCTGTTCTTTGTGACCTGCAAGCAAATCAGTGGCTTGTGACTACAAGGCCAAAGCCCTGATAAATACATGTAAATAGTGCTGTGATTAACAGCAATTAACAGTCAGTTAGAGAAGCCAGCAGTGGCTCGTCTGTTACCTTTGTGGCTGCTCACGCCACCAATGACCAGCACTTATTTCATTAATTGCTGCCAACAGCAGGTGTTTTGGGACCAATGTTTAGTGTCACAGAGTAGATCCAAGGTGACACAACACATTTTGTCTGTTGATTATCTTTTTTGCTAATGACCTCTGTGAACTACTCACATCACCAATGACCCAAACATAATTCACTTATCGCTGCCAAGGACTGGGCTATGGGACTGATGTATAGTTGCAGACTGGATCATGTCTTATTATTAGTATTATTTGTAGTTATCATCCAGCACCTGGTTTGGCTGATCAGTACTTCATTATGTCAAATTAGGAGTGCTTGTGATGAAATGAAACAAAGCTATTTAACAGCTGAGGGTGTCCTAAAATCTAGAACCAAACTTTGTTCTTCAAACCACTTCCCATGATATCAACGAGAGTGCCATGGATTTCACTTTTTTCTCAGGTTTTTGAACCCCTGGTTTATTTCACTAATTGTGTTTTTAATGATTTATGGCCAGTTTCCCAGACCAAGATTTAGCCTAGGCCTAGACTAAACAGAATTTCCAATTTCCAAACTTGTTTGACCCAGACTACAGCTTGAATGTATTTATATAAACTCTTTAAATCTTTATGGATGTCAAATCTTTTAAGTAAAATGGCTCTTGGTTTGGGTATGGATCTAGGAAAAAAATGCCAAGAATGCAAATAATCTTGAGCTTATGTAGAAAGAGTTTTTGTGGTGGAAAATAGTTTATTTTTAATGGTTTTAAAAACACTTATTTATGTCACAAAGGTAGGTCACAAAGGTCATTAGCAAACAGGAAAATTAACAGATGTGTCTCCTAAGACCCCTGATCTCTCTGTCTGTGTGTGTGTGTCTGTGTGTTTATTTCAGCAGGTAATAAAGTCCACTCATCTCAGAGCCACCAAAAGAGAGACACAAAGGGTCTAAAATATCTTGGGACTTCATTATCAGCTTCCCTCATTAGTTAAAGGTTAAGTATATGATAAACACCAATTAAGTTGTGAATTAGCTCCAGGGGGATTAATTATTATTTGACATGTTAATGCAACACCTCATCTTAGAGCTCATTAACTGCAGTGCTACACTTACTCTTACTCTGTGGAAACAAATTGGCACAAGTGGCTCATTAGGAACTTATTATTGCTCTTTATGTTATTTGCTTGATCAGTATGGTTGGTTAATGAAAGCATTGGGACAAATGTGATGTAAGGATGTTCCTGAGAGTGCTCAGGCTGTGCCTTTGGTGTAGTAAACGTCCTTAATGTCCATGTGTCAGTATTCAATTGACCACATACATATCAACAGACAGAGAGATAGCAAAGGACTGTGCAATATGTTGCATATGTTCAAAAACATCAGAATTTACAAGTCTTTATCAAGACACTACTGATCAGTGTCTGCTGTTTAGAGAACTAACAGAGACAACGTCTCAAGGCCTAGTCCAATAAACTTTAAAATATCTCACTTAGTTTTCAAGCAAAGATGATGGCTTTATGTTATCAGGCTAACAGTTCTACTTATGATACTGTTGGTTTGGCTTTGGCTACTGCTTGCCCTTAATATTAGGTCTTTGGCTTAACAGGTTCTGGTTCCCACAAAAGCCTCTTGATCTATTAAATGACACTATATAGAGCACTGCATAGGGCTCTAGTACCAAGTCGCAAGTACCTTTAGTGATGCACTTTAGTTGCAAGGTGTAACCCTGAAACAGTGTATTTTAATTGATGTTTTGATTCCAATTTTTGGATAAGAATAAGAGAAAAACGTATTAAATACTTTCAGGCACGAGTTGAGCTATTTGTCGTTGCTGTTTGGAAAATTGTGCTTCAAAAGAATGTTCATTGAAATCTGGGATAAACCGTGCCACTTCTAAAGTGTTGAACTGAACCCCATTGAACTTTATTCTTCAGATAATATTAGAGTCATTGTTAATAAAAAATGTTTTTACTGTAGAATACAGCTTGACTGTATTTATGCACAATCATAAAAATAACAGTTTCTGAATGACTCGTGTCTTGGGTGCATGGTTTTTTGAAAAACCCTTTAATTGGTGTTAAATTATGAGATTATGCAGAAGGACCTTTGTCATGGAAAAGAGGTTTTTAATACTTTCAATATGTTTTTTATATTCACATATCTCATTTACATCATGTACAGCTCTTCTAAACATCTGTGAAGTGCAGTAAGATCAAATAGCACTTGATCTCTAGGCACAAGGCCTAGTTCAATAATCTTTCTCTCCTTGTAAGGCAGCAGGATAATGATAATTATGTGAGTAACCTATATTTTGGAATAGGTCCAATATGCATAACCAAACCATTTTAAAACAGCTTTCTTATTTTTTTTAAATTATTAATCACTTCATATGATGATGTCATTAAATCAGACATTGTATGTCTATCAATTTGTTTTACTTGCATTACTGTGAATTCAGAGCTTAAAAGAAACATACATTGTTGGAGCTGGATGGTGCTGTAGGGATTTAGATAAGGTGTATACTGAGCAATACCTGTCTGTTGTGGTCTTGATTGTGCGTGTAATACCTGGCTGTCCAGAGCCTGCCTTGGAATGAGCCCAGGTCATCAGATGATCCATCAGCTCTGTAGGCACACAGCTTTTGTGTGCAGGACAAAAGGAGGGAGTCACTTAATTTTCTTCAGTTCAGCTTATATTTTCATCCATTTTTCTGAGGGAATTAATAGGGTCCAGTTCCCCAGGACAAGTTTCCATCATATACATGTGAGAGAGTATCTGCTTTGATATTTGTGATTCTGAGATCCTGAGATTATAAGTAATCTTGAAATCAAAGCACATAAATAGGGTCGTCCTTGCTTGCTTGGAGTTCACTTTCTTGGTGGTTCTCATATAGTTCACAATGTGATGGTCAGTTAAGACCAAAAATTTTCCTTGAGCACCCTCCAGCCAGTGTCTCCACTCTTCACTGCTTAAAGTTTTCAGTTCCCCACGTTGTAGTTCTGCTCTGCTTGTGGAAGTTGGAGAAGTAGCACTTGAATAAGGTTTATGTCAATTTTCTTAATTTTGGGATAACACCTCAGAAGCATTCATCTCCCCTTCAGACTATGGACTCGGATCAGGATGCTTGGGGGTGGGGTGAAATGCTCCTTGTGTGAGATGGAAGATGGCAGCAGCAAACTTTGAACAGTTCAGTTTGTGAGGTTCACCTTTCAGGAGTGAGCTGAGGGAGGCTGTAATGAAGCTAAATCCACAAATTAATCCACAGTAAAAGTTGAGTAAAAAATCCAATAAAACATAAGAGGGCTTTCATTGTTTTGAGAATCAACAGAGATTTTTCTCATTCATGCTTTCCACTTTGGAGCAGTTATGTACCTGGGGTTAGGAGATGGCTGTTTGAAAGAACTGACTTTTGTTAGCTAATATAGTGGACATGCCTAACATGTTCTGGAAGATGGATTTTTTAAGCCATATGACATCACCAGGTACTCATAATAGCTGTTGGTGGTACTGAAGGCCATCTTCCACATATCTCCTTCTGGGATATGGATGTGATTTTACATACTACAGTGATTCACACCTCTAGTAGTGCTCACCCCTGAGCTGCCTGATGACCACTGACCCAGGGAGGAGGGGGTTGAAATACAAAAAGAAAAACACTACAGAGGCAGGATTGGTCTTCGAGCCTCTTCTATGTATTCCTTACAGTTTTGATCTAATAAAAATTCAAAATCATTACACATGTCAGACATCTTTTAAAACTCATGCAAAAACTGTGTCGATCACTGGTGTAAAGCTCTATCATGGGTCACTGGTTATGATCTTGGAGGGCCAGGGTCCAGCACAGTTTGAAGATTTCCCTTTTCTAATACACCTGTTTCATCCTGGCAATTAACTGATGAGTTGAAACAGATGTGTTAAAACAGGAAAAGCATCAAGCCTCTGGACTCTGGGCCTCAAGACCCAGAAAGACTCTAAATGAGCCCACAGTCAAGATTGGATAAGGTGATAATCAGTTATTTGCCAAAGAAAACAGTTTTGAGACATAATTCACAAGAGACAAAACAACTCTGCATATTTGCCAGAATGCATTTCTTTTAAGAGTTAATTGTGTAAATGCACTCTTTATGTATGTTGCATGAAAATTCTATGAATCTGTTTTGTGAAGTCAGTGGATTATTCTGTTTGCAGGAAACATTTTGCCTTTTAAAGGCATTATCTTGTCATTTTGTAAGAAGGAGAAAATTGATTGATTGGCATGTATGCTGAGATGATGATATTTTTGCTGTTGTGCCCAGAGGATTTGTCCACAAGGGCTTGAATGAAAACAGACTCTCAGGGACTATGTCTTACTTGCAAGACAGAAATAAAAGCCAGTGTAGTGTGGAGGTGGGACAGAGAGTACTCAAGACTACTTGTGACACATATTATTTAGTTAGTGTACTTTTTTACCCTCATTTATTCACAAGGATGGCATTGAAATAGCATCCTTTAGGTTCAGCTCTTGAAACTTCACAATTTTTGTCTAATTCAAACTAGTTAATCATATCTCATGCACGCTAACTACTCTAGCATTTCATTGCTTTTGCGCATGGAGTCTCTCGACATCCCTCAGACTGGCATCTTGCCCACCTTCATCATGGGGGTTATTGCCTACTGCTTCATCCTCACCTGCAACCTCACCATTTTACTGACCATTGCTCTGGACCACAAACTCCACAAGCCCATGTATATTCTCCTTTTCAATCTTCCAGTCAATGATCTGATGGGAGCTACAGCTCTTTTTCCACAGCTTATTGCCAGCATTCACCTGCAGAACCGCAACATCTCCTTCCCAGCCTGTGTGTTCCAGGCACTGATGGTCCACCTCTACTGTGGCGGAGCTCTTATCATCCTTACTGTTATGGCTTATGACCGCTATGTGGCCATCTGCCAGCCACTACATTATCACACTGTCATGACCCCCCGCAACCTGAGGAGGATGACTGTAGGCATATGGGTTACTGATGTGGTCTTGATAGGGGTTTTGTTCATCATGCTGACCCCTTTTAGCTTCTGTCAGAATCTTATTGCTGATATGTACTGTAACAATCCCTCCATTATGAAACTGACTTGTGAGATCGCCGCTGTCAATAATGCCTATGGACTGTTCCTGTCTGTCTTTCTACAGGGAGTATCTACCATTGTGGTTATATTCACCTACATTCAGATTCTAAAGACCTGTCTGCTCAATAAGCAGGCCGACACTAAAAGCAAGGCTATTCGGACCTGTGCAACACACTTGGTAGTGTTTATTGTGTTTCAGGTCACCACAATCTTCTCCGTTCTGTCTCACAGATTCAGTCAAGTGTCCCCCTATCTGCGGAGATCTGTGGGCATGTCCATTTTAGTTTTTCCTCCAATCCTAAATCCACTTATATATGGCCTCAACACTAAAGAAATAAGAGAGAAAATAATGTTTCTTTTTATCAGAAACAAAATAACCTTCACCAAATGAATTGAAGAGAAGATGCATATATTTTTTTCCATCCTTTGTTTGAAATGTTAATGTTTATTATGTAATTCTAGTGTAGATCAATAATAGAACATTTATCAAAATAATAATGATGACTTTTAGTAAATGTTTGTATGCAAATATGCTATTCTGCTTAATGATATGCTAATTATTATTTCATATGTTGGAAGAAATAGAGACTTTAAATGTGACGCTCAGTTCATAAGAAGTTCAAGTTCACAAAATAGTAACTTTGAAGCACACAGTTACTTGACAAAGCTGAATGGGAGGCATGATATTGGCCTTCACTCAAATGTACAACCTTTTGGGCTTGTAAATTTTAATTAGAGATAAATTGTTGCATACTTCTAAAGTGTGGATTTGAATGTTATTTTTCAGCTGAGATAATCCTGCTTTTTTGCATCCACTGTTCATAACAATTCAGTAAAAAAAGTTCTTCCCACAAGTCCAGAATCACTGTTTTTAATAATATAAAACCATTTTGTTGAAGATACATATATAAAATTGTTCTCCTATAATACTAACACTCTATAAATCTAAAGGCTTCAGTTACATTAAAGGAAGCTGTGAAAAATAAAGAAGTGTTAGATGTTTGCAGAATGATGAACAGAACCGTGGATGTTTCTGTAAGGGCAATTACACCCTTTGTACATCTTTAAACAGTAGTATATGTGGGTATGCATTTATTTTAAGTTAACTTAAACTGTCATAAAGCAGCTGGTACAGAAACATTCAAGGAGGCTCTAAGTAAGCCCATTTGCAAGGATGGTTAAACTGATGCTCCTAAATGCGATGACTAAATTCTAATTGTTTTAATGAATGTATAAGATGTAGACAAAGAAATAGCTTCTGTGCATTTAAATCCAAATAAAAATAAATCCTATGGCATGCTCTTGCTTGTTTCAGGCATGCATTTTGCATTGGTTCTATTGTGACTATCAGTCTTTGCCTCAGCCACTCTATCCACACCAGTGTTAGGGGAAGCACGGAGCAAACTAACATTACAGTATTACAGTAATGTGATTATATTTCTCTAAAACACAGTAGTACACAATACAGTATGAATTATAAAATCACACTATAGTTATTGACTTAATAGGAATTGCATTACTAGCGTTACTCTTATGTCTCAGAGCAATCTCAGTTACACACAATGAATTTCATTTGTACAGTCACTTTATATTTGTTATCCGTGCTTGTTCCTGTATGTGCTTTGCAGACGCATGTTTACCATGCAACAGCTGACTGCAAAACTCTATTTGAGAACATGAGCAATACAAGTGTGGGAAGCACTGTAAACACAGCAAGCAATCTGTCGAAGCATCTAACCATACTAATATGAAACTGATAGATAAAAATCCCCATGCTGCAGAAAATAGAGACTCATCCTCAGCTACACAGGCCAGCCTTGATTTTCTTTCAAAAAAAAAGTTCTGTAAGCTTTATAAAGAATTTATTTTGTGTTATCTGGTGAGTAGATTCTGTTTTTATTGTTTATCTAGTATGACTGACTTTGTTTAGATTAAAGTACTTTCCTATTGGTCCAGATGTGTAGGGCTTTTAGAGAGTAATGTAGAAGTAACATAATGAGTAATTAGATTACATTTCCTGTTTTAATAATTAAAGTTATTACATTTTGAGAGAAGTAATTAGTAATTTATAATGGATTACTCTTTTGAGTAACTGCCCCAATGCTGGTCCAAACACAGGAACACAGTTTATCTGAAGTATGTATAAAATATGCTGCAATGGCTATAGCTTACAGGATTTTGTCAGTTACACTCTCACTAGGTATTCGCAATGAGGTGTATATACACACACACAGGTATGGGTAGCAAACTTTTATCAAGCAAAACGCTATCTAGGGACTATTCACCAGTCGCAAACAGTTGCCTACTCTACATACAATCACAATAATGAGCTTTTTTGTGTAGTTGCTGTTGGACTAAAAGAAAGTTTGTGAAGTTCATGACCACATTTTCAAAAGTTATTCAGTTTTTTTAAGCATTTAGTGGCAAGTTAACAAGATTTCACTGCATGTTTGCTGACAGGCATGCTACTGTCCTTCACATGAGTCTGTTTTTGTTACTGCACCATTCTAATATTTGCCTGCGCTGACATTTCACACAAGTTTTGCATGTCAGTCAAAAAAGCCCTTCCTTTCAAAGTAGATCATTCTAGGCCACATTGACTCATGAAACATAACAGACTTTCTGGCAATTGTCCAAATGCCTTGCAGTTTCAAGTATTCCCTCCATCCATGATCAAGCAAATCCTTCTGGGCAGGGTGGGTTGAGGCAAGCGATAGCTGAAATTGCACATGGTGGTGCAGGGGTTGGCAACCCAAATGTTAAGAAGAGCCATTTTGTCCTTTCAACAAAAATCAAACCAGCTTGGAAGTCACAACAGTTTATGTTCGTTTCACCATCATGGCTGTATGTATGTCTCAGCATGTGCTAGTGTCCTAGTATAGTCCTAGTATAAGACCATAGTATAAATGAAAATACAGACTTGCTCTGCTCTGCTTTAAGCTTTAGCTCAGCTGTAGCTGCTTTTCTCACATTTTTGGCAGAAACATTTTACGGAAAAGTGGAATAGTTTCTTGTAAAATGTCTCTTCACGTTCGTTTTTTTACGAGGCTGAAGTCAGCTTCTCATTTGCCAGCTTCTTGTTTGGTGTTTCCTGCACACCAATCTGTCCACAAAGCCATGGATGGAAATACTCTCTCAGGGTCAATGTCCTACCTGGATAACAACAATAAAAGCCTGTGTAGTATGGATGTGACATTGGATGGTGTAAACTGTCTGGGTACAATACTCATGCTAGATTTTATTTAGGATTAGTTAATGTACTTTTGGCAAGAAACTCTAATTTTGTAATGTGAAGACAGAATTTTTCTGAGACTCAAATGGCAAGAAAAATGGCACATGGGTTACTGATGTGGTCTTGATAGGGGTTTTGTTCCTCATGCTGACCCCTTTTAGCTTCTGTCAAGATCTTATTGCTGGTATGTACTGTAACAGTCCCTCCATTATGAAACTGACTTGTGAGATCGCCACTGTCAATAATGCCTATGGACTGTTCCTGTCTGTCTTTCTACAGGGAGTATCTACCATTGTGGTTATATTCACCTACATTCAGATTCTAAAGACCTGTCTGCTCAATAAGCAGGCCGACACTAAAAGCAAGGCTATTCGGACCTGTGCAACGCATTTGGTAGTGTTTATTGTGTTTCAGGTCACCACAATCTTCTCCGTTCTGTCTCACAGATTCAGTCAAGTGTCCCCCTATCTGCGGAGATCTGTGGGCATGTCCATTTTAGTTTTTCCTCCAATCCTAAATCCACTTATATATGGCCTCAACACTAAAGAAATAAGAGAGAAAATAATGTTTCTCTTTACCAGAAACAAAATTAGTTTCACAAAATGAAACATGCAAATATATTATTCTGTATATTCCCATGCAAAAGTACTAACCTTTATTTCACATGATACTGAATGAAAGTGTGCTTTGAGGACAATTGATGTTCTCTGAAGCAATGAAAGATTGGTCACCTTAAGCTATTTAAAAAAGCTACAGTCTCTTTCAAAGGTATTAGAATGGCAAGGTCAATTCTTTTGGTTTTGCAATACACTGAAAACACAGAATTTCAATATTCTTTTTCTGATATTTACGTGTTAAACAATTTAGAATATGGTACCTTTGGTGGCAGACCATGCAGTTTTGATGATGAAAGTAATGGAACAGATAGTCTCGAAGTGAATTAAATAACACTAAATTAAAGTAAAGAACACTAATATTTGGTTGCATATTTCATATTTGGTTGCATCAAGCCAGCGACCCACTGACATCACCAAACTGTTGCATTCTTCTGTGATGCTATTCCAGGCTTTTAATACATGACATGGGGCCCTGCATGTGGCCCCAGTTTCTTGACTGACTGGGGTCCCCCTTCAGGAAACCCACACTAAGCCCTCATATGAGGCCCCGCATGTGCCCCCAGTTTCATTACTGACTGGGGCCCCCCTTCGGGAAACCCAAACTAAGCCCTCATATGAGGTTGCCACCACAGGAGCCCTGACATGAGGCCCCGCATGTGCCCCCGGTTTCATGACTGACTGGGGCCCCACTTCAGGAAGCCCACACAAAGCCCTCTAATGGCATGTGCGGGTACCCAGGTTAGGGTCCTATGCTGGCGGCCTACACTAAGCTCTCATATCAGGGCTTATGGTGGGCTGCTAACATGGGGGCCCTAACATTGGGGCCTGCATGTGGCCCGGTTTTATGACTTGGTGGGCCAAATGTTTAGTCCACATGTGCCCATCATTTCACATTATATGTAGGTAACCCACTCTTAGTGCCCTGTATAATGGCTAAGTGTGGGTTTGGCTGCAGTGGGGCCATTACCATTGTCAATATATGTAAACATTACCTCAACGTTATGATGTAACTTAATATCTGTTCCAAACGTTGAATGTTAAATTTGCTCAAATATAAACATGACTACAAATAATTTTGTTTATTAAAAATCTTTATTCTGACAGCATCCTAATAACCAACTTAAAAATTCAGCAGTTACGTGTAAACTACAATCAGGATCCAAAGCTTCCATGTGAGTGTGAGGTACACAACTTCATGCTGCAGACGAATGCCCAGTGTCCAGAAACTTCTATCCTCAGACACTTTCTATCCACACAAACCTCAATCAAACACACACTCATAAACACTGTGGAGGACAGGGCCTGCTAATATGAAAAATAAATAAAATAATGAAAAAACATAAAAATAATCATACAAATAAGTGTAAAAACAAGTGCACATATAAATAAACAAATAATTAAAATTTGACATTAACGCCTTAATCATTATTTTCAGTATTTATTACTCAATTTGTTTATTTATGTTTTTCATTGTCATTATGATGATGAGGGGCTTTGCACACACTAATAATTTATTTATTATTTTATTTGCTTTCCATATTGGAGTCACATTTTGTCTCATTTTGGAGTCACATCTGGCAAATAAATTTCATATTAAAGTGACTTACAACAGTCGCTACTGTTTTTTTTCCACTAGACTATGACAAAGTGATGTGGTGGCATGCAGACTTGAGCGCAGGGAGGTATATGAAAATACAATTTTAGACAGATTTATTCTAATATTGTTGTATTTTTTACGCAGACCTGATTTTAACTATACAAATATAATGTATATTTAAGCCCATTTCTCTTGTTGCACGAACCAAGAATAGACTGAATCTAAAAATGTTCTACTAAATAATTACAGTGCGATGTAATGCAACTCTCAAACTGAAGACAATTATTTTTTAGCTAATCCATAAAATGTGTCATTATTATCATTGTTATTATTACTGTTATTATCCAGAAACGGACAACTATGCAGGCTACCTTCATCTTTTCCTTCTGGTTTTTGCAGCCAGCTTGTTAAAAGGGCAACTCGACTGTAACCATCAAAACTATCTCAATATCAAAACATCTCAATAATCCTAAAGATATATGACTTGGTCATCATTAATCAAATAAAATATTCAAATGGTGCCAAAAACTATGTAACAATAGTTTCTTTTCATTCTATTTTTTGTGGCAAAGGTCGCAATTTGAATCGATGTAAGAGATTGGATTGCTGAAGAAATTTGTTCAACCGGGAGTGACTTTAACCTCCCCATTCCACCTTAAATGATATAGCAATTACATTCTGTTTCCTATACATGTACCAGTATGAAACTGCTGCACTATTTAAGGTGTAAAACAAAATTCAAATAAGTAACATGGCAAATACAGCAAGCAGTAGGTGGTAAAAACAGGGAGTAAAATATAAACATAGCTAAAGTCATACTTTTCATTTTTACGACTACAAACTACATTTATCTTTTTCAGTTAAAGAACCAAGTTCATAAATTGTCAGTTAGCTTACTAACTAGCTAGCTAATTTAACCTAACGAGGCTATCCAAGGAATAAATTTAAACTTACCAAACTGTCTTTGTTAAAGTCTTCTCTAAATGCCATTTGCCTCTTTAAATCATCACAAGGAAAACACTTGTTTATAATAAAAATTCTATTTGGCTGTCTGAGTGTTTTTACACTTGCTCTCTTTTTCCCTCAGCTTCTATTTCCACAGTTTAGTGGTTACATCGCTATGCAGCTGCAACCTTCATTTAATCATTTATTTTGGCCACACAAGGTTCTTAAAGGAACAGGCTTTTAAAGGCTAACTGTTATCATGAGATTATTATCTTTCAGGTTTTTTTTATTATTTTTAATACAGAACACACAGGCAGAATGGGGCACATACAGCACACCAAACTCAAACAAATTATGTTTATATGTTGGATTATCTGTGCACTAGCTGCTGTGTACTGACCATTCAAATCCTGTAAGGGCACACCAGGGGCTAAATGATGTGGACTCAGTATGGAGTAACCCCCAGTGGGCCTATATTAGGTTATCTCTGGTGTACTGCGGTGCACCGCCCACTCAAATCCATTGAGGGCCCACATTAGGCAAAATAATGTTGCCCCAGTGTGGAGAGGCCCAAAGCGGGCCTGTGTCAGATTATCTGTGGAATAGCCCAGTGGTGTACTGCCCAAACAGAAACGCTTTAGGGCCCACTGTGGGTTCAGTCATACAGGGTTATCTGTTGGCTAGCCCTAGCCCACGTAACCCACAGATAGCCCTCAATGGGCCCACATGGGTATGTTTCCATGATTATCATACACCAATCAGGCATAATATTATGACCACCTCCTTCTTTCTAGGCTCTGTACTGGTCTGAGTGGATCAGACACAGCAGTGCTGCTGGAGTTTTTAAACAGTGTCCACTCTATTAGACACTCCTACCTTGTCAGTCCACCTTGTAGATGTAAAGTCAGAGACGATAGCTCATCTGCTGCTGCACAGTTTGTGTTGGTCATCCTCCAGTAAGTCATCCATCAGTGGTCACAGGACGCTGCTCACAGGACTCTGTTGGCTGGATATATTTGGTTGGTGGTCTATTCTCAGTCCAGCAGTGACACTGTGGTGTTTAAAAACTCCAGCAGCACTGCTGTGTCTGATCCACTCAGACCAGCGCAACACACACTAACACACCACCACCACATCAGTGTTACTGCAGTGCTGAAAATGATCCACCACCCAAATAGTACCTGCTCAGTGAGGGTCCATGGGGGTCCTGACCACTGAAGAACAGGGTAAAAGGGGGCTAACAAAGTATGCAGAGAAACAGATGGACCACAGTCTGTAATTGTAGAACTACAAAGTGCACCTATATAGTAAGTGGAGCTGATAAAATGGACAATGAGCATAGAAACAAGGACGTGGTCATAATGCTATGCCTGATTGGTGTTTAGCTGACTAAGAATAATGTGGTGATATGGGTGGAAAACACTACATGAATTAAAGCTGTACTGTTGCATAGGCTCAGCTACAACTTAAGTGTTAATTTGAACATCAATCTTTGGCTACGATTTTGCTTTTTTACATTGTTCATTGTAAAGAATTGTTTGTTTTACGTTACATTTCATATAAAGACTTACAACATCATTACAAACCTATGGAAGAGCATTAAACTTTCCACCAGAGGGCAGTGTCGTAAAACAAATTACCTCATATGCTCAGCCCACACAGAGCTACACTGACCATCTGATGTGCAAATGTATATAACACATTTCTGAATTTAGCAAAGGTGATCAAAGCACTTGTTGAGACCACAAGTGTGTGGATATGGTTTGTATCTTTGTAGGGTGGTTAGTCATTAATGTGCTCAAATCTTTTTTAATTTTCCCAGTATTTCTGAAACACTGTGTTACAACGTCACCAATGCATGAACTGTAGGATATGCACTTAGCTTAGTACTGTCCCCATGCAGTACAAAACTGCAAGTGTGAACTTTGGAACAGGATATATATTCCCTACCCAATCCATACCCCCTGCCCCCAGTTTGATCTGCATGTGCACCACTGGGGCATCACAGTCATTTTAAAAGTGAGGGTGACACAGTTTTCAGTATGGAGCCAATCACACACTCAATTAAAGGGATGTGCAATGTGCAAAAAAAAGTGGAGGACAGTATCAATTGTGCGTGAAAGTGCATGAGTCATGTTTCCCGCGTCCTTCTACAGGTCTGCTATACCCTTGCCACCATCACAAAGGCATACCATACCGTACACATGCCTATCTTTTTAAGTCATTGCATTGTATTAATTGATTTGATCAGGTAAACATACACATGTCCAAAAGTATGCGGACACCTGAACATCACATCCAAATGTCCTTGCTGAACATCTCACTCCAAAACTATCAACATTAATATGGTGTTTCTCCCCTTCTGCTTAATGTTGGAACCTAGCTGCCGGAATTTGCTTCCATTCAGCCACAAAGCATTAGTGAAATTAGGCACTGATGTTGGCAGTTCCAATTTATCCCAGATGTTCGTAGGGTTGAGGTCAGAGCTTTGTGCAGGCCAGTCAAGTTCTTCTAGGATGTTGGATTGGAAGGAAGAGGGGCGTCAGGCATGCTCCCCCATAATTCCATTTTGCAACTTCAGACGATGGCTTCACCCTGGTAATATGAGAAGAGACTGTATGACTGAAAGAGGGAAGAGAACTCTGAGAACTCTGAGGAGTTCTGGGCAGCTTCTGCATTGAGCTAGAAAGCTGGATCCCCAAGAACTCTGATTTAAATTCAGAACTGTTAATAGATTTGGATAATATTCAGCTGTATGAGGAGCAGAAGTCCCTGGCCTGCAAGAGGTAATTCTGATGGATTGTCATGAGAACTGTAACAGTTTAGTTAGATAACTTAGTATGATTATATGAGTCAGTGGAATATGGAGGAGCTACATTCAGAATGAAGGGTTGGTCAGATGAAGAGATGGACTGCTTGAGTTGGCCCTTCTTATGGTGCTTGGTAGTGAAAGCAGCAGAGGTGGTGAATTCAGGTCTAGAAAGTAAAAATCCTCTTTAGGACTTTGTTCCAACTGCCTGGACACCTCTGCTGGTGGTTTGATCTAACTAGAGAAGCCAGGCAGTTGGAACAAAATCCTGGGAAGGATTATTACTTTCTGGACCTGAAGTGGTATGTTGCTCTTGAGGGGTTCAAGATCAGAGAAGATGACAGGAAGAGTAGAACATTCTGTGAAATAACTTGTTTAGAAGATTCAGGACATCTAGTTCTAAACTCTAAATGTGCAGGCCAAGGGTGACAGTGGCAAGAAAAAACTCCCTGGGGCATGAAGAAGGAACCTAAACTTAACAGGGGAACCTATACACCTCTGATTGACAACAGATTAAGCAAGACTGTGTTAGATGAACACAAGACATTAGATATGGGAACATGGCAGGTAAAGTGTTAAATGAGTGTAAGGTAGATTATAACTTCTTGAAACTGGATGAACGTCATGTAGGAATTAGCTATTAAAAGGTAATGGCTGAGTATGAAAGTTGGTGATGGGTGTGGTGATTGCTCCGTTATCACAGTGGATGAGTTGCTTGTAATTCAAGAAAGCCAGAGATGACGAGGATGAGGCATCGAAGTCAGCAGTTTGAGGGGAGGCAAGTCAGCGATGGCAGAAGCACAGGCAAAATTACTAGTAGATCAGCAGGTTCGCATGGGCACAGATAGCCTCTTCACAAAACATACCAATGCCGGTCCAGTCAAAGGGGGAAAGAGTAAGACCAAAGGCCCACAACGCAGGCGTCACCAGCGGAGCAGATGGAGCAAAACTGAAAGATGTTCTGAAGGGGTGTTTCTGCAGTAATATTCAATTAGTGGTTGTGCTGGGGAAGTTTGACCGCAGATTTTTTTAACCAGCATGAGAGTAAGTGGGACAAACAGGGTCAACCCATCTGTTTCAGCTGTGGAGAGGCAGGCCATGTCTCCAGCTTAGAAAAATATCAGGTTTTTAGAACCCAGACAGACAGTGCCCTCAGTCCCACTACAACAAGCAGCTCTGATTGAAGAAACTGGTCCACAGGCAGTGAAAGCAGCAAATGAGCTGTGTATTCCAAAACTCTGCATGCCCTGGTTGACTTAACACCTAAAATGACATACTAAGGCTTATTATTCAGTAACTGCCCTGACTTGCAAACTGGCTAAGGCATTCTTAGGTTATAGAAGTGTGTAAAAAACATAGGGCCAATTAAGGGGGTTTAAAGGTGGGAGGAGTTCCATTTCAACACAAAGGCTTTATTATTGTAGCTCTTTTTATGCACCCAGGTTGTGCTATAACAGGCATGAATGTGATTTCACAATGCTGCAAACAGACTGCACAGGGAGTACATCAAGGGGACGCTGGTTTTAGGGTGCTAGCGTCTTCTTCAGTAGGCCCAGACCATTTGGTGGGTTTTATGGGCACTTGCCCAGGGGTCCAAAACCACTAGGCGGCCCAGGCCACTAAGGGGCAATTGTAAGAAAATCTACACGGCTGTTTTGACTCACGGTGGGAACTTTATTAGTGGCACAGCAGAAAAAAGAACTAATTTGTCATTATGTTATGGCCGATTATAATCCTGAGGCTCTCCACATCTTTCCTAAATGTCCACTTTGTTACACGGTCTGCCATTACCTGGGTCATGTTTTCAGTGTTCTGCTTGCAAACTTCATTCTGCTGAGGGGTGTCCTGCTTCTGACTGTATAGCATCTACAGCAACTTCCACAACTGCAGAGCCTCCTGTGTTAAGAAGCAATTCCTTGTGCATCTGCACGCCTTCATTCGACTTCAGCCAACACTCTGTTCACATGATGAAAACAGTGAATTATTGACTGAAGCCTATATTGTCTGCTCATACCCATGTATATTCTCCTCTTCAACCTACAGGTCAAAGATCTGGCTTGCATCTGCCAGCTATTACGTTACTACACCTATCATGACCCCCACCAACCGGATGAGGGTTTTTGTGGGCATGTGGTAACTGATGAAGTCCTCATGCTGACTCCTTTCAATTGTAGGAAACATCAGTGTTATTAATACCTGTGGGCTGTGACTTACTTCATTCCTACATGGGGTACAATTCATTTACCTACAGCCATATGGAAATGTTTTGTCTTCCCTGGTCAAACTGGATGTTTGTTGTTTTTCTAAGTGAAAACATGTTAACACATCCTCTACAGAGAACACACGTGCACATCCTAACACACAATTACTCTTTATTTATTGAATTTAACACATTGGAAAAGAATAAAATAAAATGTGGACAAATTTTACAACATGTTTTATGTTTTATGTTTTATTTTTTCCAACATGTTAAAGTCAGCAAATAAATAGGAATTATGCATTAAAATTTGCATCTTTAAGTTCCCTGCAGAGGACATGTTTTTACTTAGAAAATCAACAAAATGTAATTTGACCAAGCAGTGCTGCTGTCCAACATAAACAAAATTAGTTGCTGAAAATGAATTCAGGAAATCACTGAGAAAACTATAAATCTTTTAAACATTGTTTGAACACACGTGATGTTTTTCTTTCTTCATTTGAAATATTGATTTGTTGTTACATGAATTGATGAACAGCTTTATAGAAATAATACTATAGTATAATCACATGCAGTTATACTTCTGTTTATTTGATATGATATTGAATAAAAGAGTTCTGAGTAAGAAATCTTATGCTCTATAGGACAAACTAATGCAGTTCATTGGAGGCACAAAAAAAGAAAAACAAATACATTAATAACATTAATAAAATAATATTTTGTGTTTTTCTGCCTTTTAATATACATGACAATAAGAAAGCAACTATGAGGAGGTAAGATTAAGAGTAGCTGTCTGGAAATCTGCAACAAAGTACTTTGTCTCTATCTTGTGGTCACAGTGCTTACAGCAGCCTTCACTTTAAATCTCAGCAACATGTACATTGGTTTCTTAATCTTCAGAAAGCTGAAGTACCCCGTGAAACCTAAACCATCTTACTCCGTAAGGCATGATGTGAATAGTTAATCATGTTTCTTTGAAATCTGGAGGGACGTGTCATATATCTATTAATTATAACTGTAGTGTTTATTTTGACATCAACAAACTTTTAATTTCAAGGTGAAAGGAGTGCAAGAGTGAAAGTACAAGATGTTTTAAACCCATTTTCACTCAAGGAGGACATTCCAGCAGTTGATTGTGAAAGAAACGTCTGATCCTGAACTAAAAAGCCCGCCCTTTTTTTTTTTTTCTTTTTTTTCTTCAAGGAGATTAGAGTCTGCTAAAGTTGTGGAAAACAAAGTGAAAGCAGGATAGACTACATTTCAGCACCTCCACAGTAAGTGCACTCCTGTTAATACACATGTGCTTGATCTCATTTTGTTATGTTTGTAGTCTGCATATGTTTCTGAGCTGCATATGTTAATGAGTAATGTTGCTAAGTAATGACTTTCTTCGTTGATCACCTTAAGGTTGGACAGGAAATTTAGCTTTCAAAGTGTCTCTTACTACACTATTGCACACATCTTTGGTTACTGATTTACAGTTTTTTTCAGTATAAGATATACTCTCTAAAAAAAGACCATTTAAATGGTCCACAGTGTAAACCAGTGCATGTAATTTGGCTTCCCAGTGGAACATAAAACAGAGGAAAGCATTATTCAGCAACACTGACTACAGTATGTGAACTAACTTTAGTGAAATGACTATGTAGGTTTATGTGTGCATGCACATGTTTTTGCTTTGTCAATTCTTAGAGAAGTCAACTAAAAAAAATCTTTTCATGGCTGAATATATGTTTCATGTTTTGTTTTTTGGCTTTGGGACAGGTTTGTCTTCCAATGAAATATTACTAACATTGTGCAATCCACTTACCTCATGACATTAGCACTAGTTTAGGGAGCAAAGGTCATTCCATAACTTCTGAAGTCTGAAGTCACGCCTCTTTTTTTTGAACATTTAACCCTTTGTTGTATTGACAGTCATGACAAAGCAGGTGTAATTTTTAAAAATGTGATATTAATTATTTCTCTTAACTCATTGAAACAAAGTGGTATTTTTTTTTCAATGTGCACATTTTAAGTAAATGAGGAAATTTTTTTTGAAAACAAAAACAAAAGTGCAGATTGGAACCTGTTGATACAGACTGTAAACTAAATGTAATACAATTCTTCGAGTATCGAACTATGTAATGTTGTGTTATTACATTTAAATAGTGTAGCAAAACAACAGTAATAACTTCTAAGGGTTAACTGCTTTGTAGAGCTCAGCTTGCTTGCAGGAGACCAGTAAGTGACTTTTTACAACACATGATTCTGTGGAGAAAGAATCTGAGTCATAGTAGGGAGTTAAATTCTTTGTAGATGAATAAAGACAGATAGATGAATAGATAGACTGATTCACATTTACGTTCAGTCATGTGTGGAATATAAAGTATTGCGACGAAAAATTCTGTGTGTACAGTTTGGGGTGTGTTGAATTGAGATAAACATGAAGTGCCAAGAATAACTTCCTGTTGTTCCTAAAATGCTTGAAATATGGAAAAAAACATCTGCTTACTGGTATTTGGTTTACGTAACATCTCCAGGATTGTTAAAAGAGAGCACTGATGCAACTTATTGTGACATGTTATCTACAGCATGTTGTGCAACAGTTAAGAAACCCAGAAGCCTTCATTGTGAAGATTGCTGGCTCTGGCCTTTGGGGACACTAAGCAGGATTTTTTTGGGGTGCTCCCATCTTGCTAGCTGATGTATAATACATTTTTAACTGGCTAACTGAGTGTTGCTGTTGATTTGATACTCATTTTGGGTTCTAAGAAGCCACAGCTGTGTTTCTTGGTCAGAAAGCCTGGTCAGAAAGCCTGTTTAAGTTGCTTCATTAGACAGACCCTAACTGGACTACTTCTTGTTGTCCAACTACAAACCATAACATTAAAACCACAAAAACAAAACATGCCTTTATCTTTAAGCTGTTTCTCCTTTTTTTCTTCTCCATTTCGGCTCATGGTGCATACATTTTTTTTCTAAGACATGTTGCTTTTTACCCACTCACTTGAGCATCTTAGACAACATGGTGCAGTAATAATCCAGAAGTTCTTAGGTGGCTGCAGGGCCCTGAGAAGCTGCTTATGTCGTTTATTAGATAGAGCCAGCGCTGGTTGTACTTGAAGTGTAATGTTCCAAACATGTTAAATGTTTTGAGTATCCATCATTAAAGCTTTAATCAAAGGTTGTCAACACAAAATGTAGCACAGTATCACCTACATGTACTGCACTGTTGAGTTAGCATCAGCCTTTAGAAGGGAAGAATACTTTGAATTCAACAATTGGACACATGAATACAAATCACAAAATAGTGAAAAGCAAACAGAGTGGCTTCTTCATAATCTGTGTTGCCAGAATATAGCCTCTCCACTCTAAACATTTTCTGAGAGCAGTTAGAAGGGAATGCATGAAGGGTGAGTGTGCAACAAATCTGACTCAACGCAGCCACTGTTAGTCAGGCATTTTTACCATTGCTGACTGGAACAGATCGAAATTTATTGTAATCAGTTCCAAAGAGAAACCTGTTGCAGATACAGACGTCTTTTGTGAAACCCCTTATGGGATGAATCGAGCAATGAAAGTCAAAAGGAAAGTCATAGACAATTATTATTCTCTGTTTATCTGGTCTTGGAAGTATTTAGAAATTAGAGTGTTGTAATAATTTGGTCAGTAAACAGAAAACAGATGCTGCTTTCACTCAGTGGGTGAATCACAGCCCACACACATTTTGAGGTTGAAAAAATGTGTTTGAGTCATAGATATATTAGTAATCTGTCATATCAAGATATTTGGTGAGAGAGATGAAGATATGATGCTGCAGACAGGTAGAGTACTGTGTGTAAAGCTTGCCTACAGCCCTAACAGTACCAACATTCATCTGTACTCATATTAAAGGTATGACATCACTATCATGCTTTAATAAATTTCCATGAGCCTTGTTAAACCCGTGTGAATGTGTGGTGGAGAAGTATGGTAAAGGTAATTACTGTATTAAAGGTATATGCAAGATTACCACAAGATTTCCACTGTAAATTTGCACAGAATTTCCAAAATACATCAGTGCAGCTCTGTTCTGCCAAGCACAAGTGTATAACCCTAAGCCTTTGAAAATCAAAGGTCTTTGAGTTCAAAGGTCCAAAAGGATTGTTTCAGATAGGCATCACAGCTGACATTAATATAGTTTGTATTTCACAGATTGTGCTTGACTGTGACTTGATAAGGAGAAGTGATGACAGCTACAAAGCCACAGGGAGCCATACAGAGGGTAAAACCTTGCAACCTCTTCAACAATATCAAGGTGAGATTTACAAACACCTGTTTCACATTAAATTTATGGTGGATTTATAAGAAATAACTACTCTGGACTGTGTCTTGGTGGACTGTACCAAAGGTTGGTAGAGTAACCTAAACCCACTCTCCAGTAGTACTGTTACTTGTAAATGAATGGCTCAAGTAGAAGTAAAAGTACAATAACTTTGCAAAAAACAACTTGAGTAGAAGTATAAAAGTGTACTACTTAGCGGTAGTACTGAGAAACTTATACATATACATACTGCAATGAAACATAACCTTGTACATGTATAAGCATAAGAATTAAAGTTTTCGATTCTTCTCTTTTTGTGATCCTTTCGGTCTAAAATAAATGCTAAATCTCAAAAATGACAGGTGTAACCAACAGCAAAGCAGTCTAGATGCCATTGTCAATGTAATATGATGACAATAAATACACAAAAAAAGGGAGTAACCAAATTGTAGTGGCAAAAATGTAACTAAGTAAAAAGTAGATTCCTTGGTGCGTGAGTACAACGCTGTTGTTAGAAGAAAACCTTGTATCCATAAAATGCTAACTTCACAGGAAAAGTAATACTTTTAGTGTAAGTCAATGGAACCAGACTTTTTTCCACATCATTTTGGGCCGTTTATTTTGGTCCATTCTTCATGAAATTTACACACAGTGTAAAGGTCAGCAGGCATTTTGAAATTATGTCAAAAACTGAAAAACGACAAAAATGGAGATATGAGGTTTTCTTACGACAGCGGCGATATGTAACTATGTAACTAGTCTGGTAGCCATTATATCCAATAAAACCTAGAAGAGTGTTCAATTATAAACTCCGTAGTGTATTGTACTGTTTTTGAAGCACAACTGGAAAGCTTCTGTGGTATCACACCATTCCAGCAAAGCTTAACCTACATACATTTCCTGACTTGTGTGATGAGCGCCTGGGGGATTACTGTTTCCTGACTTTCATTGCACATCCTCACATTGTTCCTAGTCGTTATTACATGCAATACCCCATTACATGTTTTGTTGATTTTGTAGGTGAAAATGAGTAAAAACGTCTTCTGCAAAGAACAAACTTAAATATGAGATTTTTCTGTACATTTAGTGCACAATTTCTGTTTACTTGCTGAGGAAAAAAATGGTGACGCTTTATTTTGAGTGGTCCTGTTTAGATGAAATAAACAACCAACAGACTTTCAGTAATAAATCAACAACATATCAATGATGTAGCAGCAGTAAATACATCAGTAGATTATCAAGAAACTTTTGATTAACTGCGCGAGTAAAACCTGTTTATAGTTTGCTAAATTAAGTTGTTTTTCACTTTATTTGGAGTGTACAAATTCATATCTGTAGGATTAGGATTAGGACCAGGGTGAGGGTTAGAATAAGGTTTTGGATCAAGGTTAAGGTTAGGATTAGGGCCAGCGTGAGGATTAAGATTAGGTTTTGGATTGAAGTTGATGTTAAGGTTAGGATTAGGGTCAGGATGAGGATTAAGATTAGGTTTTGGATTGAGGCTAAAGTTAGGGTTAGGATTAGGGCTAGGGTGAGGGTTAGGATTTGGTTTTGGGTTGAGGTTAAGGTTAGGATTAGGATTAGGTCCAGGGTGAGGGTTAGGATTAGGTTTTGGATTGAGGTTAAGGTTAAGATTGGATTAGATCAGGGTGAGGGTTAAGATTAGGTTTTGAATTGAGGTTAAGGTTAGGATTAGGGCCAGGATAAGGGTTAGGATTAGGTTTTGGGGTCTTCTTTTTGAGGCCCTTTAGGAAGTACAGACGTTGTTGTTCTTTCTTAACAGGTTCACTGGTGTTGGTAACCCAGCTCAGATTTCTTGAGAATTGTAGTCCTTGGAACGTTACACTTTTGGCCTGGTTTTTCTGTACTATTGATGTTAATTGGAATAGGAGGGCTTGTGTTTCTCCTGAAATCCAGGATAAGATCTTTTTTTGGAGACATTGGCAGCATACACACATTTGTGTTTCAGTTCTTCTTGCTGTGCCATGGAATGCTGCAACTTGCCCAGCTGTTGGTGTCTGGCTATCTGAAGGGCTCCATATCCACCATAGAGAAAAGATATGGCCTCTCTAGTCAAAAGTCTGGACTGCTTGCATCTTTCAATGAGGTAAGCAAGGAATGTCAAACGAAGGTTCCCTTATTCCCTTTTCGCTCATCAGCCTCTTTTTATAGCAATTAACTATTGGCACCCTTGGTAAAGAGACAAAAATGCCATTTTATGTTTAATTACCAGAGTCTAAGACTGAAATTATGAGAGGAGTCTAACTCAAATTTAACGAAAAATTATGTAAGAAAATGACTTACTTAGAACGAGGTGTCATAATTACTGGCAACCCTGCAGTTAGTACTCTGTGCAGTCTCACTCTGCCAACATGGCAGCAGTGAGTCCTGTCCTTCAATGCATGATGAAATTGGAGAATGCAGCACAAAGAATTTGAGACCATGATGCCATGTATCCCAACCAGGTTTCTAACAAGGTTCCCAGGGTCTTTGGAGGAAAAACCCAAAACATAATAGATTGTCCACCACACTTAGATCTCAGCATGAGGTTCTTTTCTGTATTACCATCCTTTCTTTTATGTCAAGCCCAGTTTGAGTGTTTGTTGCCCAGATGCTCACTTTTGGTGGCATAGAGTCAGTCTCATTTTGTACTTTTGGAGACTTAGTGACCCCAAAATGCTACTATCTTCTGCAAATCTCCAACTTCTGTTTTTTCCCTCTAACCGTCCTCCTCTCTGTGCATGGAGACAAAATACTCACTTCTCTTCTAGGCAGGTTCACTACAGTCCCAGCTGCAACAGTGCATTTGGGTATTTTCTGGGTATTTTTATATTCATTATCTGATTTATGAAGGTAGACACACTTTTAATTTCATTTGTTTGTTGTCTTATCGTCCTCATGTTGATGAACGGTTGAGGGAATTTTTGATCACCTCATATTTAACAGGAAGTCATGGATGACAGCTTAGAAGTTCCTGAAAACTTTTTTTTAAAAAGTTACATGTAAATGGGAACATGCTACTTTTTGTATGTATGAATGTGAAAGGGGTGCCATTCATTTTGACATTTTTTAATATAATTACTCCTTTTTTCTAAGAATATATTTATTTCAATTAAAAGACTGATTATTCATATAGGTTTAGAGTGTCACTGAGGTATTTACCACAAAGACATTTTTATATGACTTTTTATCCATCTTTACCAAAGATGCCAGAAGTAATGAAGCTGACTGTTTAACTCTAGTGATTACATTTACTGAAATTAATAAATTATTAATAAATTGTTGAGCACTTGAGTGCTAATGTAGGGTTAAACCAGAAATGACTCCCTCTTTTCTGAGGTCCAGTGAAATTCTCAGCATGTATTCTCAGTAATGTCTCTCAGTAAGTCAACTGTGAAAGCTGTTGGTTGTTGCGCAGCCAGGATTACTTCATATGCTTTGGAATGAAAACTGACACGATTTTTGAAAATTACCAAATGTAATACAAACAATGGGCCTTATTCACCCACTGTTCTTAGGAAGAAATTTCTTCCCACAAATACAGATTTGTGAAGATTCTGACATTCACCAATGTCTTCTTATTTGGGGTTTATTCTCAGGTAAGAACAGAATCTACACTCACTCAAGATGCCAACAATTCTGCAGTTTCAAGAACAAACTTGAGAAAAAAACTATTGGTGAAAGATATTGGTGAATGAGGCCCCCAGTGATACAGTCACTTCCGAGCACTTAGTCTCAACTAACAGCCAAGCATAGAACTTGTTCCAGATCAAATTTATCTGTGTGGTGTAGCACACTTAACCTTACCAAACCCCAGCCCAGTCTGGTAAACTATCATTATACACGTGGCTGTTTCTGTGCCTGCAGGTGGGAAACACACTGTTCATTGTGTTTGTGAGCTTTTTTGGAAGCCGTGTACACAGACCCAGGTGCATTGGGATTGGAGCAATGATAGCAAGTATGGCTGCGTTTCTCATAGCGCTGCCTCACTTCATCAGTGGAAAGTATGATTATACAAAAGATGTAAACAGTGAGTGGCTAACGCATGTTTTCAATAATACTTTATTGTCTGATTTACTTATTAAAATGGCTCGTTATCTCATTCTTATAGTGAATACATTTCTGTTCTGTTAGTATGTGTAACCAAAAGCCTTGATATTTTTACTTATTGTTCCAACTACATTCCTTTGATTGACAGGCACAGCTGAAAATACTTCTGGTCTTTGCCAGACAGGAAGCTTTCCCCAGACATCCAATCAGACATGCTCAAAAAACGAGGAAGAGGCCAACAATGCAGTGTTTCCCATACTCCTCCTGGGCCAACTGCTGTTGGGCATCGGTGGTGTTCCTATACAACCCTTTGGGATTTCCTACATAGATGACTATGCAAATAAAAAGAATTCACCAGTCTATCTTGGTAAGAGTACTTAACTATCCCTGCATCAGTCTTGGTTACAACGGCATTCCTTTCATAAACAGCACTGTTGTCCATTCCCCACAGGAATACTGTTTGCATTAACTGTGATTGGACCAGCACTTGGTTACTTGATGGGGTCGTTTCTGCTCCGTTACTATGTTGACTTCAACTTACCCCTTAGTAAGTGGCAGATCTTCATTTCATGCTAACCCTTGTAATGTGTCCACATTTGTAAGAAATACCTGACATAATTAAATCCCACAACGCAACACACTACATCCTATAATTCCTGCAAGCTGGAATCATTGTGGTGTAATTAAATTAGCTTAGTTCGGTAACATTCATACATTCATGCATACATACATACATACATGCATACATGCAGCCTATACTATTCCACACAGTTTTATTACCAGAACATACTAGCACTTCACACCCGGTCCTTGTTCCTTCTTATTTATATTATTTAGCACACCTTCACATTACTGCCTTAAGACAAGTCTAAACATTATGCCTGGATAAGTGAAAGTATCACTTTATAGGGAGAACAAGTTTGTCAGCTGTTTGCTGACAAACCAGAAGCATTGGAGGGTGAAGCAGAACAACCAAGATTCAACATGTTTTGTGGAATAGTGCATTGACACATTCATTGTTAGAGATCTAGGGAAAATAATCATAGAGGGACCAGTCTGGGCCTGTCTATGTAAGTGCGCATACGTAAACATGCACCGCACACCCCCAAAGATGGTCTGAGAGACAGTAGGAGAATTATCATTTTTAAATAACACCTACACTTTTTAAAAGTAAAGGCAGTAAAAAGGCCTCTTCGGGGTGAAGCCACAAAGAATCTTTCAACTGATGGATTTTTGAAGAACAATTTTTGTAAATACATTCTTTAAAGAACCATCCAGACACCTGGAAGAGTCTTAAGCAAACATCTGGGTGACCCTCTTCAAATGACATGTTCCTCTTAGCTGAATTTAACATATTGGAAAAAAAATACATAAATGTGGCCTGTGGCAAAGTTTTGTCATGTTTAATATTTTGTTTTATTTCTTGCCCTGGAGTGGCAACCTGTCAAAGGTGTTTTCTGCCTTCCGCCCAATGACTGCTGTGCGTGTGTATGTGTGTGTGTGTGTGTTTTATTTCTTTTACAATATGTAAAACTCAGCAAGTAAATAGAAATAGTTCACTAAAATCTGCAGAAAAATGTCATTGGTAAGAGTGTTTTCTGTAGAGATTGTGTTAACTTATTTTGCCTACAACTAAATAAGAACCTTCACATTATATGATGCTTTTTTAAAGTAAATATAAAGGTTCTGCTCCAGTTGATGTTTTTTCCTTGAATCATAAATCCAAGCAAAGAACCACTGAAAAAACTTTTTCTACTACGTTGATTGAAAATCTGTTTCAGCCCGCCCCCCCGCCAAAAAAAGACAAGATTTTATTGTAAGCAGTTTTGGACAATTTCTGTTGGTTCATTCATCACAAAATGACATTTTTCCACAGTATAAACAGCAGCTGGCATTTTCAGTTTTCAAAAAATGTAGGAAAAAATAAAGATATGGAGATACAAGGTTTTGTTCCCACAGTGATATGCAATGACAACAAAACTGATGAAGTAGTTACTCATCACAGTGTATATGCAGGTCAATAAGCTAATGATGTCCTGTCTGCACTTAGATGAACCGCCAAAGAGAGATGACCCCAGGTGGGTTGGAGCTTGGTGGCTGGGCTTTCTTATAGCTGGAACCTTCCTCTTCCTTACATCCCTGCCGTACCTGTTTTTCCCTAGGAGCATGACTACAGAGGTATGTTTGAGATGTCACCCATTGGTTCTTTTCAGCTCTTTCTGTTTTGTTCTCATTGTTGCACTGGTTATGTCTATAATAGCAGATCTAAATCTTACTCAACATTATGCAAGTGGTATCATTATTAATTCCAAGACGTGGATGTCTGTGTTTGACATCACTGCACTAGACACCAGGCTTCTCTAAGAGAAACTAGAAGCTAGCTAGCTGGTTTTATGCCAGACAGATGTTTGTACAAGAAGACGCAGCTTTGTTATATAAACACTTGCTGGTCCTGCTTCACATGAGAAGTGAAAGTAACGCAGGAAATACGAGACACTTGAGGATACCATTAGCGAGAATGCTTGCTTGCCAACTGTTGCTCAACAGAATGGAGGATTGAATATCATGCTAACCTCCCATGGAAAGACAAGAAATGTCTATGCATGCAGGCATGATACTGACGCAAATCCTAGAGGGGAACAGATCCACCACCACCCCCAAACCCACAATTACCATACTTTTTGAATAGAGGCTTTTACCTCACTACAACTATTGTTAGTTTTTTTTTGACACAGTTATTTTGACTGACTATTGTTAGTTACTTTGCACAGATTTTTTTGTTGTCCATTGGAAACCATGAAACACAAGTAAATAGAATTTTAAAAATACTTTCTGTCTTTTTGTCTGTCTAATGATGTATTTGACTGTCTGTCTGTCTGTCTCTCTTGTACTTAAGCTAAACTGAAATCAAGGTTGACTTTTCCTATGATTTTTTTATAATTATTTGTAACCTTTGTTCAAGCTTACCTTTTGCATTTTTCTTAGCTATTCATGCAGCATATGTGGTCTCTCAAAACCCACAGCCAACTATAATCATACTTTCGCAAACCCACCATGCAATAAACCATCTTTCATGAAACTTGCTTAATGAATCTCACATAAATAAGTCACAGAGTGCCAAATTTTTACGAGTAACTGCAGAATAATCCATTGTTTATACGGCAATATTCATTATTTTTTTGGCTCTTAGTGTTGGAGTTATTTCTCAACTGTTTGAGCCTTTTACTAGTAATGTTTTCCTTTATTATAACCTTAAGGCTATAATACAAGGAAAGACTTCAGAGATTAAAAAACAGGATGAAGCTGCTGAAAGAAGAAAGAAAGCATACTTGGCAAATGTGAATTGTTAAGAAAAGATAAAGTTGATCTAATGCCTGCTGACACAAGATGAGTGTCATTTAAAGTTGGAGTAAATAAAAAATATGTAAGTATAAGCTTAGTGTGACACTAAGACTATATGCAACAGTGAAAATGACCGCAGTGACAGTAACTTCACTGCAGACAACTCATAAGACGACCAAAAACCCCACAGAGAGTAGTCCTGAATCATAATGAATGTTACTAAAAGTACTTCCCCCTAATTCTCTTCTATGCTCTATGACCTACAATATGATTTCGTTACAATAATTTATTTTTTGTCTCTGCAGGAAACCACAGAGACCCCTGTGGAGCCCACACCAGAGAAACTAATACAAGAGAAGGAAGCTAAGCCAGATACGACACATGAACTTTCTCTGATCCAGTTCCTCAAAAGTAGGTTTAGTCACCATGTTTGTGTTGGGCTGACCAAAGTCTGCAGCAGCAGACCTGAGCATTAAAGTTTCATTTAAGTTGACTGAGTAGATTTAAATGCCTACTAAAGACTGAAAGCACAAAAGGTCCATCTGACCTACATTAACTGATAGTTGGCTGAAAAACACACCGTGTATTACATACATGTTTATTTTAGGAATGACATTGTTCAAATGTCAACAAATAGTCTGTCCTTTAAGCAAGTGAGTAAAGGAACAAACACAGATTAGGACTGCTTACTTCACTGATACTACAGTAATTATGACAGGAGAAAAACATGCCTCTCCCTTTTTCAGTAAAAACAATGACAACAGCTAACCGTACTAAAAGGAACGACTCATCAAGGTACAAACAATGTAAATGTACCCTCAAAGGTACAACAGTGGTTTTAAGGTCCAGTTGTGTACCTTAAATAAGTTTTTCCATTGGAAAAGTATGTATTTTTATCTTTTCATGACCTAATGCTTTGAAACAGAACAATAAAATAAAAAGGCTGGAGTTGAGACGGGGTGTGTGGAGTCAATATAAAAATATAATTTCAGTGGTTTATGGTACTTTTTGAAAGATTACAGCAAGTATCAGTGAGCGTTGTTCAAAATTCAGGATCATTCCAAGAGTTGTTGTACCCTGTTTTTTTCAGTTTTGAAACATGCCTCCTATCCTACAACTAAATCAAAACAGTCTTATTTCCTTGATGTTTGTCACACAGTGTCACGTAGGGTCATGTTGATAACCGCGGTTATAGAGTTCATAACAAAGATTATGTCTTCCCAGAGCGCCGAGTGCCACAGCTGAATGAGTCCATTCAGTCACTTGAAAGTGTTTGAAAATTTTGAAAAAAAAAGTCTTTAAAATTTGCATCATTTCTGAATAGACTATGTTAAAACAGAAACCTTATAATGGCAAACTACCCTAAAACATGAGCTGAAAATCAGAAGGCACATGTTATCCTCAATTATCTGCCTCACACAGTGAAATTAATGTTGGTAATTTCTTACAAAGCTGCTCTTTGGATGCTAACATTTTGTTGCTCTTCTTTCACAGATTCTCCACAAATCACGGTGAGAAATCTGAGGAACCCCATCTACCTTCTGGTGGTGCTGGCCCAGGTGAATCTAGCAGCCATGGTTGCTGGTTTGGCTACCTTCATGCCCAAATTCATTGAGAGACAGTTCACACAAACAGCCTCCTTCTCCAACATCATGATTGGTAAGCTCACAAAGTTACAAAGGCTCAATGCTACGTTTATTCTCAGTACTTGAAACAAAGGATGTGCACTTCCCTCTATTCTTCATAAGCAAACAGTGGCAGGAAATTTGGAGCTCGTCCTACCATTCATCTTAGTTCAGAGTTCATAAGACATGTATAGGACTACTTTTTCTTTCCTGAGTATCTTTCTTATCAGACATAAAATGCCCACGTTTCATCTTATCTCTGAAGTAGTTCCTTAGTGAGATAGGAAAGTGGGAAAAAGTAAAATCACCTCACATCTTCTGTGCAATCAGTGTTTTTTAGAATTTCTGAAGTACTGAAGATTTAGCTTAAAAACGTTTAAAAAATAAAGGTTGCCAAAAGGGTTCTTTGGAGAGATACCATAGTTACCATAGTTACCATAATTATTATTATTATTATTATCATCAGTAGTAGTAGTAGTAGTTAGTATAAATGTATAGAGTAGCATAAATACATACAAAAAGAATGTTTAATTCATATTTTAGTCTTAAATCAACTTCCAACTTCATTAACTTACATTTAACAGAAGAATTACAAGGGGTTTTTATTGTGATTGCATTGGCATTCCTGCTGAATGTGAGTAAAGTTATTGCAAAGTAATATAACTGCAATCTAATTCTACATTCCCAGTGAATTCATTTGATAACTATTGGTCTATATTAGAATAATAGTTATGGTAGTTACAGCTAAATTACAACTATCCCTTTTCAGTGTATAGCATTCATGCTGCGTCAGGTTTTCAGCAAAAAATTAATGTGAAAAATTTTGGGATTGCTGATTAGCTGATACAGCTTGTACTGTGGTTTCGGTCTCGGTTTAAGAATTGTTACACACGTTATTTACGGTGGTCACACTGCGATAAAATATTTCAGGAGAAAAAAAGTTTTTGTTTTTTTTTTTAGTAGGCATTTAAATCTACTCCATTAAATTTCAGCACAAAATAGTCATTAACCATTGGCCAGTTCTTTGTTGATTAACATAAGGACTATATCTGTAAGGCACATATCAGCTCACGCCAAAACAATGATCCTGCAAAGTAGAACCAAATGTTTAAACATTAACAGATGTTCACTGGGGAAATGAAGACTTTGTGAGAAGAAGAGTGATTTGAATTACACAACGTGGGTGCTCTTTCGCCTACATTGCATGTGCAGGTCATAAGGAACAGTTTTCATGAGTAACATGAGTGTTTGTGTCCTCAGGTGGTTTCAGTATTCCCTCGGCAATGCTGGGCATCATGGCAGGATGCATGATCCTGCGCAGATTCAATCTGTCTGTTAGGGCCTCTGCAGCCATGTGCAGCACTGCTGTACTGATAGCTGTCATTTTCGCTCTGCCACTCCTCTTCCTTGGTTGTTCCACACATAAGGTTGCTGGGATCTACCCTGCCAAGTGAGTATCCCTCAGTCTTGATGTTCCAAGCAAGATTCAGTCCATTATGTTCTTAAACCACTTGCATTGCCATAGAGAAACACTGTCAAAATCTGTCATTTTCTCAGAAAAATAGTGATGAAGCAATAGAAACCAAGATCAAAACTCACCAGCCTGTCTCCAATTTGTTGACACCATCAGTACCTGGAAATTGCACAAAAGCTGGCAAGCATTGATAAAACAGGATTTAGCTTGTCACAGATCAGAGGCTAGCATCTCAGACAAAGGAATGTTTCTGGCCTCAAATATTTGGACTTTTTAAAGTTCCTATAAACATGAGAGCACAGTGTTAGAGGACTGGAGAGAGAATGATTAGATTAGTTTTAAGTGGGGCAAAGTCAGAAAATGAAAGTTCACTCTTTAACTAGGTCAGCTAGCTCTTCCTCTCAGAATGTTGTCAGTTCTATTTCTGTTTGACCCAATTTTCTCTTTGTCTGGCTCTGTATCTCTTGCACTAAATGTTTTTATGGTTATGTCATGCCTGCACTCTTACACAGAAAAGGATGAACAGAATTTTACTTTGGTAAAACCAAAGGCGAGCGCTTAGGGCAGGGATGGGGGACTATCTTTTTTGTAGCTAATAGCTGTAGCTGCTACAGTTTTATGAAATGTAGCTAATAGCTGTAGCTGCTACAGTTTTATGAAATGTAGCTAATAGCTGTAGCACGTACAAATTTTTGTGTAGCTATAGCGATAATTTTCGCTACAATTTCGCTACAGGCTTCAGGCAATCTGCGCGAAATCTGAATCACAGAACGTGGTCGTTAACTGGAATAGTGGCGATTGTGCAATCCTGACTGGGCCGCGGACAGTTCGAGCAAACGGGCACGCGCTGATCACCCCTTACTAGTAGGCTTAGCTCAGGGGTCACAACCGAAATGTTAAGAAGAGCCAGTTTGTCCTTTCAACAAAGGTCAAACCACCTTGGGAGCCATAACATTTTATGTCCGTTTTAAAATCATGGCTGTAAATAAGTCTCAGTATGTACTGATGTACTAGTTCAGGCTAAAAATATGATATAAATGAAAATGCAGACTTACTTGGCTCTGCTTTAACCTTCAGATCAGCTATATCCGATTTTCTCATACCTCAGTCAGGAAACTTTTTTTGTGAAGTAGAGTTTCTTGTAAAATGTCTCTCAACGTTTGACCTTTTACGAGGCTGAAGTCAGCATCTCATTCGGTGGCTTCATGTTCGAATTGTCCCGTTCCACCTTAAATGGTGCCTGAGGTGCCAGAATGTACTGCTGTGCCATTTAAGGTGGGACAGACGACAGACGACTTAGAGTCTGACAGTTTCTGGTTGCAGATTAAACAAATAAGGAAACCAGTGGAGTGTAACTAAGTCTTAAGACATCTCAAAATCATCAACGTTCGTCTTAAATCTTTCGTTAGCCACTAGCTAGGCCAGACATTTCTGCATTGCTGTGTGACCAGCAGTCTGCGTGCTTTGTTTTACTGCAAAGGAGGATTATGTTGTTTTACCTAAAAATCTAGTGCAGCTGTGGACCTGCAACAGGGCAGTGAAAGAGCCACGTGTTGCCGATCCCTGGTTTAACTAAAAGTAGCTAAAAAGTAGTGCACTACTTTTCAAAAAGTAGCTAAAAAGTAACAACTACTTTCTCTGGAAAGTAGCTACAATTTTGGGAAAGTAGCTACAAAGTAGCTAGCTACTAATTTTTCAGTAGCTATCCCAGCTCTGCCTTAGGGCATTCTATGGGCATAGAATATAAGATGATTTGTTGTATTTACATGAGTGCAGGTATTGCAAGTGGTGAGAGGTAGTTATAACACAATGAGTTAAACATAACATATAAGAAGGTCTTTTGCTTTTCACAAAACAGGCAAACTGTGACATGTGAAATGGTTTCTCCACCTCATTTTAGGAGCTAAAACTTTACAAACTCTTTCACTCATGACTCGGATCTTTGTAACTCTGTTTGAGCTGATTTTGGTCCACACAAGACGAAGCACAAATGAGCCGATTTTCAAGTGCAAACAAGATCTCCTTTGCTTCTCACAGAACAAGCAGTGACACAGAGCTACTGTCTGTTTTGGAAAAGTTAAAGTAGTTTAAAAAGCTTCATCGCTTCATTCAGAAGCTGAAACTTTGAGTGCTTCCACACAGGTTTTAACTTGCATGTTTGTAGCCCAGAATGTGCCCTGTTTAAGCTTCTTTTGGAGATTCCGATCCTTTTGACATCTAATAAAAAGGTCTGTTTGCTGGAATGCAGCTGCTCTGTCATCGTTTGTGTTCCCACGCATGCCGTGATGGTCAGAGTTCGTGTCGTTGCTGAAAGTTTGCAAAAATCGGAGAGAGGGTGAATAAATTAATGTTGCGTTTTCAGTGTACCAAAAATCATGTTTGGTGTGCAAGATATCGTCAGTTATACGCATTTGAATAAATGTATTGTTGTCTAAATAAATTACACAAATAAATCATGCTCAGTGTGTAAATACCTTTATTGGTGTGAGTGGTCTTACTGTGTTTTAGCTGGAACAGGGAGTGAAACTCTGCTTTCCCATTTGCAGGACAATGGTGCTATCCATTCTGCTATCCAACCACGTCTACCAATGATAGAAGCCTTGGTCTTGCTAGAAAGAAAAAAAAAACTGACTAACAAATTAGACATTATATATATAGTAAATTTCAACAATTTGAGTACCAGTACTATTTTTTCAACCCAAGTATCGTGATGCAGTTTTGCATCAATTATTATACCACCCTGACTTGTTAGTACTTCTTGGAGAATGTGGTGCAGTTTAAGGGCTTAATATTCTTGTACTTCCTTATTTTTGTCAAAATGCTAAAACAATGGTGTAAATATCATTCATTCCTGTTTTTCAGTCAAGATGGCTTCCAGCAGTGCAGTCTGGATTGTTCCTGCTCTAATGAAGCCTTCAATCCCGTTTGTGGTTCTAACAACGTGGAGTTCCTATCTCCCTGTCATGCAGGCTGCAGCGGGATAATCCAAGGAACCGAAACCATTTCGGTAAATTATGTTCAAAATCCTTCCACTCTGAAGTGTCATGTTAACACTTAGGCTATGAATAGTTAGCTGGTATTGAGAAAAATGAAGCCTGATTTACGGTTCACTAAATGAATACAAAAATGCTTCTCTCGAGAAATAAATCCAATATATGCCCTACTCAGTAAAATGTTCATTGGTAACAGTAAGGGGTGAGATCTTTCCTGGAAGAAAACCTTATAGAGATCATAGGTTACTGCCATAACGGGCATTAAGGCCTGTTTCCTCCGTGCACAGTTTGAAGTCTCATCATAAATACTGGAAATGTGCTCAGAGTGCTCCAGCCACAGTCAGACAGTTGTGAGTGTGACCACATTGTAAGCTCACCAACCCCACAGACAAATGTGATGTAGTAATTCTAATTGTACACATCTGTTGAACTGCTCGTTTGCAGTCTAATATAACTTAGAGCTGTTTAAAACGTTTAAGAGGGCATCATCATGACCACATGCACTTTTAGGTTCATCCAAATCACGATTTGCATGATTTGTTGTTCTCTACCATAAGCTGCCAACACAACGATTTAACTTAATCATATCATACTAAACTATATTACATGCCTCTCTGATGTTCAACTTTCAATTAAAGCTTCTACATAATTCAATCTCTGTGATGTAGACAAAGTCATTCAGAACAGTTTAGTTGTAAAATGTATCTTTCTAGAGAAACTTACTGACTCAGAACTGTTCACAACTGTGGTGATTTGAACGGTAACACTACTTGAAGGATGTATACGTTACACATTCATAACATTTTACATAAACCTTTCATAACGTTCATGAATGTTTAAATCAACATTTATAAAGTATACCTGTTTTACATGATATTAACATGGACTACTCATTTTACTGAGATACATTTTCAAAATAAAGGTCCTCATTTTTTATTTTCAAAAAGTATAATATTTTCAATGTCATAAAAAAATGACCTCGCTTTATCCTTTTGGTTGTTAAGTGCTTTGACACTCAGGCATGTTTCACCTATACTTTCACTTTCTTTTTAATTGTCTGTTTTTTCTTAAGCATTTGTTGCTTTGCATGTCACTTTGCTATATGGACAGTAAATTCCTCATATATATGCTTAGGAACAGTCATTCGACTGAATTTTAGTGTGATGGTGTGCCTAAGTGTCCCAGCACTTAATGACCAAATGGGTAAAGCAAGGTCATTTTTATTTTGGCTGCCCAGAAATGAGGCCTTGTATTGAAAATAATAAACTGTTTCAAAATAAAAAATGAGAACTTTTATTTTTAAAAATGTTTCTCAGTAAAATGACATACTAGTCCATATTAATATCATGTAAAACTTGTATGCATTATAAATGTTGATTTACATGTTCATGAACATGTTATGAAGCATGTATGTAAGGTGTTATGAATGTGTTATGTAGATACCCTTCAAGTAAAGTATTACCGTTGGAACTAGACGTCTGAAGAGTTTAACACCTCTAAAAGCTGTTTTACCATTATCAACATTGTATATAAAGACTCAAAAGACCTTTGTAGGTTCAGTGGCCATTTTGGATTGCAAATTAAATGGCTACACTTGTATTGTAGACATAATAACTCCTGGTTCCTATCACCACCACTGGAAAGGAAATCCAAATCAGTACATTTTTCTGCGATGAATCATCTCACATCGAACATCTTTAACTTCACTGTGATCCCCATCACTCGCTACCTCAGGACATAGTGCAGGAATAAAACAACGTATCATATCTCTATCTCCATTTTTGCCGCTAAACCAAACAACCTGCTGGGATTGAGCAGAAAATGAGATAGCAACCTTCCACACATTCCAAGCAATGGGGGGGTGGATTTTGCTTATGTATGTTAAAATATTTTTAGTTTTCTTCCTGGGCAGAGTCAAAGCTATTCAGGCTTGGGCATGTTGTGGATAGGTTGTGTTTTCCTCCCCTGTATGAACCTGTTAAAGCATGTCTGTCTTAATGTTTGTGATTGACCTAGTAAAAATCCTCTTCCTGCTTCTCTAGAACTACACTGACTGCAGCTGTGTAGGGTCAGACATTTCTCCAGGCCATGCTGTACCAGGGCCATGTGAGAACGGCTGCTCTAATCTCCTAATCCCTTTCATGGTGCTGTCCTCCTTCACGTGCTTCTTAGCCTCCCTCTCCCAGATTCCATCCTTCATGATGATTCTCAGGTTTGTGTTCTGCACCATGCCTTTCATACATTTCATTTGATTTCAGATTGTTTATTAGCAAACATCAAGGCCACATAGTGTGAGAGATATGACACCTAACTCTTCAGTAGCTGCCCTGGTTCTCTGCCAGACCAGCCTAGAAACTGACAGCACATTTTAAAATCAGTTCGCCTAGTTTAAATGTTAGTTACATATCCTTACCAAATGCTTAAAGGGAAATTCCACCTTTTTTATTTATTTATTGTTACATTTCTGTATTATTCAATCGTTGAGCTGTATACACAATAACTCAGAGTGGTTTGATGTGAAATGGTGAATTGTAGAGAAACATACTGACTCAGATTTCTTCACATTGGTGGTGACAGAAACCAAGCATCTCAATGTCTACAATGCACCTATAGCCATTTTATTTACTTTCCAAAACAGCCAGTGAACCTCCATGTGTCTTCTCAGTTTTATAAGTAATGTTATTAATGGTAAAATAGTGGTAAATCTTTCTGGTTCCTATCACCACCACTGTGAACAATTGTGACTCTGTGAAATTTTCTAGATCAGAGCATTTCACATCAAACCACTCTGCATGACTTTGTTTACATCTTAACCAATTCATTATGCATACATTTTAAAAAATCAGTGGAATTCCCCTTTAACATTGACACTATAAATTACATTTATGTCATATAGGTTGCCCATAATTTGCTTTACCATTGTCTACAGAGCATATGTTAGCCGTCTTGCAAGCTAGAAGCTTAGCTTTTAGTCAGCAATAACTCTTGTTACTAGGCCTGGAAGAGCTGCTGGTGTGCTGCCTGTGTTTATTTGTACTACTTTAATAAGAATTTGGGAAAAAAAGAGTTGAGCCTACAACTCAGCTTACAAAGTCCAGCTATTACATACTGCTTAGCCATCAATTGGATCATGTTTTAGCAAACCAACAAAAAGACAGAAAAGCAAGCTGAGATGTCAGAGACACTTAAAACAAACATCAATATCAATAGATGATGTGTAGCATTACAGTGCTACAGCAAAGTAACCTGAATATGTATAATAGCTGACTCAGTGATAACTCCAGTCCACTTTAGTTGTATAGTCTCCTATAGATAAAGGTTCAAATTCAGCAAGCATAAGGGTTAGGATTAGCAGGGTTAGGTAAGAGTTAGGTTTAGGTTTTAGATTTTAGGTCAAGGTCAGGGTTAAATGCAAAATGAGCATGTACAAAACATCAAAATTGGGCTTTCCTACTTCCAGTGAAACCACACAGACAAAGCAACAGTGCAATCCACCATACATTAAAATACACAATACAGTGTAATATACCGTACAGTAGAAGGTACCATCTAAGCCAGAGAGAGTAAGTTACAAGTCAGTGTCATGAGTTTCTGAGATGCTTTGCCTTTTAAAAAGCTCCAAGCAATAAACAAACAAGAAAAAATGAAGGAAGCAAAACGATCTGATAAGATTAGATCAGAATGCTCAGAAGATCCCTCCAAAACTGGATATTTTGATGCAATTAAAAATGTTTTGCAACTGTCCACGTATTTACATGGTACAAAGCGTTTAATGGCGTCATTAGAGATGTTGAAAGAAGTAATGCTGACTGTGGTTGTTGTGTGTGCCCGTAATGCCTTGCGTGTTATCTTAGAATACAAGCAAACTCACAGGCAGGTTCTGGCATGACATGAAGAATCACTTGATATATGATCTCACCTCGGGCATCTCAGTCACCGCTTCATTACTTTTACGTGTCACTCTCTGTCAAACCTTTGGCAGCGGTAGCTTTCACCTTTTTCAGGACAATCCACAGCGCTTTAACTGAGCTTAAGAGTGAATTTATAAAATACATTTTGTTCCTTAGAAACCTGTGAATACAAAGTGAACTGTGACCCAAATCTATTGAGCAGGGGTGCCCACATTCTTTGATTGTGGGGGTTGAAGTCGAACATTTTTGGTGGGCTGGGTGGCAAAAAGACAAAATAATATACAAATGAATAAGGGAGGTAGATTTCAAATCAAGTTTAAAAAAGTATTTTATAACAAAATCCTGTTATTAAAATACTGTTCAAAATCTAATTTTAAAGGAAAATAAGAATTTCACAAGTTATATATAGTAAAACAATATGGAAGTTCTCATTGGATGAGGGGTTGGGGTTTCCTTCTAGTTGGCCAAACCAAACATCCAAACTTTGACCCATGGGCCTGCTATAGTCCTGGTAAAGAGATAAGCTCTACTGAGATAAAACAGTAATATTCATAATGTTATTCAGAGTGGAGGCACTTTTAACTTTATCTCAAAGGGAATTTATTTTAGAATTGGACTTCACGAAGAAAATATATTCAGTATAGCTTATGACCCATAGTGCATCACAGCCAGAAATTTACATTAAACATGAAGATTGTGGAGCTTTTGGAAAGCTAGGCTTCATGATGACAGCAAGTGGTTTAGTATAATAATTACATGTGCTGTTGTAAGTAAGAGAAGAAAAGACTCAAATATTCTTAGCAAGTTTGTTACACACAGTTACCTGGCAATTTAAGATCATAAATAAATAAGTAGTTACATGTTTCATTAAATGTTTAGGAAGTGTTCCCATGTGAAATGTTGTTAAAGCCCTCAAGAGCAAAAATATCTGACTCACTAGTGCTCGACATGCCCATGCAGGCCTGTGATGAGAAAAAACGAGCTAAAGTGAAGATAACACACTCCAGAACAGTTATGAAATAACTGAAGTTAGAAAGAAACTCCTCACCCCTCCTCCATCCTAGCTGACTTCCTGTGTTCCCATTTTGTCCTGTCACACCACTGTTTCTCCTGAATTCTAGCTCTCAGACTTTCAGTGAAAGCAGAAACTCCAGCCCAACTCTCCAGATTACAATGACTCCTCATACTACAGCTTTAGAATAAAAGCATGCACTGAAAACTAATTCTCGTAAGTTGTATTATTTCAATATAAATATTGCAAAAAAGGAAGTAAGCTGAAAGGCATATTTTGTATTTTACAATATATATATATATTACTCCTGAGTAAAAAAAATCAAAAACATGATACCTTTGCTTTTAACACATTGTAGCTCATGCAGAATATGGCTTGGTGTTGTCATAGTAAAATAAGCATGGATGTTTCTAAAAAAGACGTCACCTAGAAGGCAGCAACATACGTGGATCGAAAATATGTTTATATCTTTCAACAATAATAGTACCTTCACATATGTGCAATGCCATGAGCACAAATACATCCACATATCATGACAGCCTGGCTTTTGAAATTTATGCCGGTAACAGTCCTTTTCTTCTTTGTTCTGGAGAACACATTACTTCCATAAACAATCTGAACAGTTGACTCATCAAGCCACAGTGCATGATTCCACTGTGCAAGAGTTCATTTCAGATGACCTTGGAATGAGTTTCTGGACATTGTTGACATTCTTAGCCTTGCTCTTTATGTTCAGAGATTTTTCCAGATTTCCTGAATCTGTTGATGATATTATGAACCATAGAGGGTGAAATGCTCCAAAATCCTTGCAAATGCTCATTGAGGAACATTGTTCTTAAACTGGTGGATTGTTTGTTAATGTATTTTTTGGCAAAGTGGCTAGCCTCCACCCATCCTCGTAAAGCACTAGGCCTTTCTGGTCCTTTTTTACCAAAGCATGATTTAAGTCTTTTGAACATATTGTACTAGTCCTCAATTGCTCATGAAGCCCAACTTTTGAAACATATTTTAGGCATCAATTTAAGAATTAATGTATATATACAAAACACAATGGAGCTAAAAAGAAGTTCAGCATTAAATATCTTGTCTTTGTAGTGTTTTCATTTAAGTATTTTAGGTCAAAGTATATTTACAATTGCTTTCTGTTTTTTGTTTTGTTTTTTTGTTTTTGTTTGCATTTTACATTCTGTCAGAACATTTTTGGAACTGAGAAATTTGGCATCTGAGAAAATGATATGTAAAGCGACTTATTTGGGAAGGAACCATTTATAATAAACCAATAAATAATACGTTGTGATTTGATGCATGTCAGTGTGTTATTTCAAGAAAGTCCAATATTTACCGTTCAATTAAATTATATAAAATCAGATGCTGCTGATGGAATTGAATAAATCTATGCAATGGCTGCAGAGTACCAAGACATCAGGAACCAAACTTGTGTCCTTCTAACTGTATTCCTCTTCTAGCTTTTAATACAAAACAGTCTTACTACACTGTATTAGCTCTAAATATTAAAATAAAAAAACATTTCCTTGGCTGCTTAAATATTTTGAACAGTACAGGAAATATTATGTGCACATACAAACACTTATTCAGCTTTCACTTCAAAGACAAAAGCTTTGGCAAACAAGAACATCTTGAAGTATATTGTATAATGTGTAGGTAAAATATATTATTAATAGTATAAAACATAATCGTTTTACTTATGGTGTAACAAGAAATAAAAATTAGACATCAGGAAGTATTTTTCTAAACGTGACATTTGTGCTTTTGTCTTCTATCTACAAAACTATTATTTGTTTGTTTTCTCACTGATTTTGTCGTGACTGTCCTCCAGGACTGTGACACCAGAAGACAAATCCTTTGCTGTGGGAATCCAGTTCATGCTCTTCAGAGTGCTCGGTGAGTGCCAAACAAAACAGAGATACTATAGACTTAAGTTATGAGGAAGCTGCCTTAAACTATAGTAGCAGTTACAGTGATCAGACAGTCATCCCATAAAATGGCAACAAGATGAATGCATGACTGACGGAAAGTGATTATGTTTTGTTACTGATCTAACTTGCCCTCTTTCTATTCACATACCTGTTCTGTGTTGTTCTGCTTTCTTGGCATGAGCAATTTTTTTTTTACGGTAATCATAAACAAGCTTGACTTGACATCTGTCAACATCCATTGAACCATTCAAGAGTATGTAGAATGAGAAACAACAGCTATGAGAATGTAGGTATTATGGGATGAGCAGTAGGTCAGACAGGTGCAGTAAGTTTACTTTCATTTGTGTGCAGCACTTTATTGTCTTTAAGATATTAAGCATTAAGATATTAATTTAAGATATTAAGTATTATTTGTTAATGAAGCATTTTATCTCTCTGCTATTTCTGATGTCAACAATGCTATCTGTCTTTTACATCATATGAACATGTCATGGTGTGGATCAATAGAAATAAAGCTGAATTAATTGGGATAAAATCTTCTTACATTAACTTACAGTGCAATTAAAAATATTGTGCCTCTGTGAATCTACATACACTCAGGAGCACAAAGGTGTGAACAATTCTGTGGTTTAAGAACACGTCACGACACGTGAATCTGACTTTTTCTTAGGACCTTTCTCAAGAACAAATTAAAGAAAAAACTATTGGTGAATGAGGGCCATTTATTTCCCTTCCTGTTATTGTTTACAAGACAGTGACAGTGCTCTAAAGCTGAATATTTCTCTAATCAGTAGAATTTGCTGATATTTGTTCCATTGACAGCATTTCTTCCTGCTCCTGTCCTGTATGGAAGTGCCATTGATTCTACCTGCATTCTATGGGGGGAAAAGTGCAAGAAGAGGACCTCATGCCACTACTACAACTTAGATCTCTTCAGACAACGGTAAGACCACCACCTTCTCCACTTTTACACTGCAACACTTTGGCGTTGAAGAAAGAGCTGTGGCACTGTGAATTTATGATTCATTTTAATGTAGATTAAAGAAAAGAAACAGTTCATGTATTTTATGTTCACAGTGATTCTATGACACATTTTAAGATACATTCTTATATATAACAGTTCCAGAAAGGAGTACTGTGACAAATAAAACTCAAGACTACTTGAAATTTTACGTTAACCTTCTGTATAACTTGTTAGATTTTATCCACTCACTTGAATTAAAAGTGCTGTTAAAAAATCACCGGTTTTAGTACTGCATCTCAGTTAACTCAATACAAGCAAAAAAAAAGTTTTTGCTTTTTTCAAGTTTATAATACTCAGTTCTCCAGAATTATTCATTGCACATTTCCACCCACAGACTATAACTCCCCCTATTACTGTTGATGATCAGGAAGTTAGACAATTGTGACACACAATTGTGACACTCACAAAGTTACATTTTTTGTGTCCAAAAAGGAACACAAAAACACAGATGATCTGTGTTGAATTAATTCCTCATGATCAGACAGATGCTTAGATCATTTAGTCATTTCACAGCTTTAGAGTGGCATCACTTAAGACAGGAGTTTGCCTCCCAGTGATGCCTCAGCCCTCTGCGGTCAGAAGTCAGAGTAGGGGAGGTGCTCACTCCCCCAAGCTCTGTGTAATAGGGGGAATTTTAAGCCTGTGGTGGGGGGGAGTGAAAATCTTTCAGCATATAAGGAGCAAATTCTGACTGTATTTTGTGACATAATTTGGATGCAGTACTAACAATGTAAGACAGTACACTGTTAGAAATAAAGGTTCTGTGCAGGTACATTTATCATTCATCAACTTACAAACAGTGTAAATGTGCCCTCTTAGGTACAACAGTGGATTTAAGGTCCAACTGTGTACCTTAAATAAGGTACATATTTGTACCTTTTCATAACTTCATATTTTAAAACAGAACAATAAAATAAAAAGCCTGGAGATGAGACGGGGTGTGTGGAGTCAATACAACTTAGAAAACATAATTTCAATGGTTATGGTACAATTATGTTCCCGGATTAAAGGTACTGAGATGTACCCTTGTGCGTACCACCACAGTGACAAGACAGTTTTTGTTTTCTGAGAGGGTAGAACTTTTAACTGAAATAACTTGGGAAATTTAAAGAAAAGGCTATGCAGAAGCTTGACTTTCCAGTTGACCTGACTTGTAATTTTCTGCAAAAATAATAATTCACTGAAGCAGTGTTTCCCAAACTGGTCCTCAAAGCCCCCCAGACAGTCCCATTTTTTCCTTCATCTCTATGTGTTCTGAGTTGGGTTGAAGCAAAAATGTGACTGAGTTGGGAAACGTTACTCTGAATAACTTTCTTTAAAGCAGTACTTCTCACACTGGCCCTCAAAGCCCCCAATTCCTCCAATCCAACTCACAACACATAAGGATAAAGGAAAAATGTGGACCGTCTGGGGGCTTTGAGGACCAATTTGAGAACCATAGCTGAAGAACCATATTTTTTAATGAGGTGTGTGAATGTTTTTAACCCCTTAAAATCCCAGGTTAGACGCATCCTAAGGCTTCTGGACCTACATGTACTACAATGCAAAATTATTCTTATTTTATAGTAAAAGTAGAGTGTAACAGACGTTTGGGTCTCCAGGGGGTCCTAGTGGTTAAAAGGATAAAGCTACCTTCACATAATGTAGACCATACAGAAAGCAAAGAACTTTTATTTATGAGACGAACCACTAACGTATCTCTCTTTTTCAGATTCTTGGGACTTCAGATTTTTTTCGTGGTTGGCGGCCTGGTGTTTTTCATTCTCTCCTACGTGGTTCTGAAGCGAGCCGATTCAGCCCAGCAGCAGCAAGCCGAACAAATGAACATCATGGAGAAAGGAGAGGATAAAAAGGAAACTAAACAGCTTATAAGCCAATCAAATGGAAAGTGTGAGAAACATAGCGTTGTGTGAGCTGTAGCATTAGAATTCATCTTTAGTAAGCATCAGGTCTTTAGGGGCATCTACGATGCAGCACTAACCTGACTGACAAGGCGTTTTTATGAACCAATCCAAAATGTGAGGACTGCTCTAAGACTACTGTCTAAGTAGCCAACATAGATCATATTCTACATTACATTCAAATCCCTCAAATGTGGAAGCATGTAGCCACTCCCATAACGTGCACTGCACATGCTACTATTGTGTTAATAGTACACTGTGTCTGCATCTGTGAATAATACTGAACCAGCAGCAAATTCACACTGTGAAGTCATTACAAGTGCTTATTCTGAGGTGCAGTGAAGATGAGTCTTCTTACCTATCATTATGGACAAATGTGGTTTGGAAAGCCTGTTTCAAACCTTTTTTGTATTTGCTTTTGTTTTTGAATCAGCAAAATGAAAGGATGTTTGGTTGGAGTATGCGTATAATACAGAAAGGGCATTATTAAGGCTACTGTGATGAGAGTGCTGTTAACTCCTATGGGGAAGATATATTCCATGCTAGGAATGTGACATCATTGTTGAGTGTTTTCTCTTTCTTTGCATTTCATTTGAAAAATGTAACCTTTCTTTTTTACCTTATACATTGAACTATATTTGAATGCTTCTTTGGAATTTGCATTGTATGCCAACATTTTACAACTGAACTGTTTTTTTTTATATTCTTTTTTATACATATACTTTTTTACATGTGAAATAAGCTTTTGAACATTGCCTGTTAAGCGTGACCCAAGTTTCTGAAACACATACACGCACCAGTCAACTGGAAAAAGCTAGTTGACTCTACATTAATCCAGTATAATTTGCCAGCAGAAAATCTGAAAATCTGCTGAAATAAAATCACATTTTCAAGAATATTATCAGAATACTTCATTTTCAAGGCATCCCAAGTTATGGATTGGTTGAAAGCTCAGTTTCCAACCAGAACGCGAAATGCCATATCTAGTAACCAAATCAAGTAAATACTGACGCAGCTTCTATGTGGAAATAAGGGTGCATCCAATGGCAAGATTTCATGACTGTACTTGCTGGTGGATGTTTTTTTCTGTGTCATTAACCATGTATGCTTCTGTGAAAGTGTTGTATAATCTTGAACGAAAGTCATTTATTACACAGCTTTTGATACCAATTCTAGCCAGTTCTTTGTCTCTGAATCTGAAAAAACTATAAGCTATAAACATGTGACCTAGTGAAAGGCCCATTCATGGTTTTACAGGAGTGCCTGATTTCCTTGACAGAATTCAAACAATAGAGTCATCGGTTTCAGGAGATCAATTGCTGAACAGTTGTTCAGCCTTCATGGTGTAGCAGGTGATTGAATATTATGATCTCCTGTAGAACTGTGGGGGAAGAGGGATTCATATTCTTAGTGGTTTTGTTATAGAGTGTCACTTCTGCTCTTAAAAATAAAGGTGCCAAAAAGGGTTCGATGCCAAAGAAGAACCACTTTTGCAAACATTCTATACCACTTAAATAGTTTTCCTAGAACTGAATGGCCAAGCCAAGAATCATTTATGGACTTTTATTTTTAAGAATATAATAGGTTATGTAAGAATACCGTAAACTTTTAAGGTCATAGTGCATGACGCGGGGTAGTAAGTTTCTGATGTTATGTAGAGTAGCCAGAGATAGTTTGGGGCAGAGAAAAGCAATCCTCTTCTTGGTTTGCCAGTCCGAAAGAGAGCCTACGACCTCCGTTTGTTAAAAACTCAGAAAAGTTGGTTATTAAACAAGCTCTGCTCGATTAACTGGAACTCTGTTACAAAAGCAGAAACAGTTTAGAGAAAAATCAAATTTACACAATTTCTCACTTGATGAACTCAACTAGCCAAGACATATTTGGTGTCTTTATTTTAGCTAACAAGGCTAACGTTGCTAACAATCACTAGACGTCAGTAGTCACCCAAATCTTTTCCGTAAATACATCCCCACAAATTCTCTCAAGCCACTCAAACAACATACAGGTCTTCATTAAGGACTTGTAGTTCTGGGTTAGTGTAAAAAAATTAACAAAACTTCACCTTGTAGCTAAACGCAGCAGGCAGCCACTTTGGACAACAGATGTTGTAAGTAAGTAAGTAAGTAAGTAAAGTTTATTTATATAGCGCTTTTTACAACAGGTGTTGTCACAAAGCAGCTTTACAAGGAAATGAGCATTACAAAAAGAAGTCCGGGTCCGAGCCCCCATGAGCAAGCCAGTGGCGACAGTGGCAAGGAAAAACTCCCTAAGAGAAACAGGAAGAAACCTTGAGAGGAACCAGGACTCAGAAGGGGAACCCATCCTCCTCTGGTCGACACCGGATAGTAAACATTGTTAGTATAAAGTATTATAGTACAAAAAACAGGGTAAAACGTGAAGGAAACAATTAATTTGAATAGTTCAGTTCATGCAGCAGAAGCAGCAGCATCAGTGGGGTCAGGTTGTGAGGGTGAGGTTTGCACGGTGAGCAGTGGCACCCGATCAAGGCAGCAGAGGCAGCAGCATCAGCAGCAGGATGGGCAGCTGTTCAACTCGGCAAAAGAAAGAGAGGAAAAACACAGTCAATGGGTGATTGATTAATTTGAATTAGTTTGAATGATTGATTGGTTCAAGTGAATAATTTTGAATAGTTCATGCAGCAACAGCAGTAGTATCAGTGGGGCCAGGTTGTGAGGGTGAGGTTTGCACGGCGTTGAACAGCAGGAGGCTCAATGTTGGTAACCCGGTCCAGAGGGCTGGCGAGCAGTGGCACCCGATCGAGGCAGAAAAGGCAGCAGCATCAGAACGCACAGGATGGGCAGCTGTTCAACTCGGCGAAGAAAAGAAAGGAAAACACACAGAGAGGAAAACACACAGAGTTAGTTCTGTAATGGGTGACCGATCACAAATTACAGTGTTAGCAGAGACTCTGGCAGGTATAGAACTAACAGGGAAAACTAATTACCAAAGGCTTGAATATACAAGTAGGTTTTTAGCCTAGACTTAAAGACTGAGGCTGTGTCTGAGTCCCGAACATTAACAGGAAGACTATTCCAAAGCTGGGGGGCTTTGTATGAGAAAGCTCTCCCCCCTGACGTAACTTTATTAATTCTGGGTACTAATAGTAAGCCAGCACCTTGTGATCTAAGTAGGCGGGATGGTTCATAGTGAGATAGAAGTTCACTCAGGTACAGCGGGGCGAGTCCGTTTAGTGCTTTATAAGTCAGCAAGAGAATTTTATAATCAATCCGAAATTTTACTGGCAACCAGTGTAAGGCTGATAAAACTGGGCTGATATGGTCAAACTTTCTGGTTCTAGTAAGAACTCTGGCTGCAGCGTTCTGGACTAGCTGAAGCTTGTTAATGCTTTTGCTGGGACATCCAGCCAGCAGGGCATTACAGTAATCTAGCCTTGAAGTAATAAATGCATGAACTAACTTTTCTGCATCCTGTAGAGATAATGCATTTCTCAATTTAGCAATATTGCGAAGATGCAGGAAGGCTGTTCTAGTAATATTAGTTATATGTGTGTCGAAGGACAGATCAGGGTCTATAATGACACCAAGGTTTTTTACATATGAGCTTGATGCAACTGAGAAATTGTTAAGTTTAAGTGTTAAATTAGACAGTTTGTTTCTAGCTGCTTTTGGACCAAGAAGCAGAACCTCTGTTTTATCTGAGTTTAGAAGGAGAAAGTTACTCGACATCCAGTCCTTTATGTCTTGTATACAGTCTTCAATCTTGCTAAGTTTAATTCTATCATCTGGGTCGCTTGCTAAATATAACTGAGTGTCATCGGCATAGCAGTGGAAGTTTATGCCGTGTCTACTGATAATGGTGCCCAGTGGTAGCATATATAAAGTGAATAATACAGGTCCTAAAACAGAGCCTTGTGGAACACCATATTTTACTTTTGTGAGAACAGATGATTCACCGTTTATATTAACAAACTGATACCGATCAGTGAGGTAGGACCGGAACCAGGAAAGAGCTGTTCCTGTTACCCCTACAAGGTTTTCTAGTCTGTCTAGTAAGATAGTGTGGTCTATTGTGTCAAATGCCGCACTAAGATCGAGGAGGACTAACAAGGACACATGATCTTGGTCAGAAAATAATAATAGATCATTTACAATTTTTACTAGTGCTGTTTCTGTACTATGATGTGGCCTAAAACCAGATTGGAATTTTTCATGTATTTGATTCCTATGTAAAAAGGAGCTTAACTGTTTTGATACAACTTTTTCCAAGATCTTAGATATAAAGGAGAGATTCGAGATGGGTCTATAATTTGAAAGTTCGCATGGATCGAGGTTAGCTTTCTTAATCAGCGGTCTAATTACTGCTAGTTTAAGAGATTTTGGGATGTACCCAAGGCTAAGAGAAGAGTTTATTATTGACAGAATAGGCTTGGTTATTTCTGGCAGAATTTCCTTGAGTAAACCTGTAGGAATCGGATCTAGCATACAGGTAGATGATTTCGCGGAAGAGACTATTTTAAATAGTTCATTTTCTTGGAGTAAGGTAAACGATTCCAGCCTCTCTGCAGGAATTATAATATTTTCAAGATTGAGGCTAGCATTATGGGGAAGCAGGTGCTGAATTCCAACTCCCCTGCAAAATGACCCTCCCCTTCATATTCACACACATTGTGTAAACATAATTAAATTCATAACAACAATCACGAACATATCTATAGCGTCCATATACCTGCGTGATGTGCGTGCACCCAAACTGGGTTGTAATTCAGTAGCTGTGGTTTAAAATGGCTGCCTACAGCTTTCAGATACACAGTTTTTTGTTCTGTACTGACAAATATGGAAATATTATTTTCAAATGTAGCAGCATTTTCAGAAATTTGGAAAACTGTTGGTCTTACATTTATACACATAATCTACTGTTAGAACATTTTAAACTGAAATCTTTCACTTTCTGGCAGGGCTCATGATTTGGTCTTGCTCTTTTGAATTGACCCCTTCAATATATTTCTAGTTTAGTACTTAAGTAAAAGAAATATCATACCTCTCAGTAAAATCTACACTATATAGACAGAAGTATTGGGACACACCTCTTAATTATTGGGTTCAGGTGTTTCAGCCACATCCATTGCTAACAGGTGGATAAAATTAAGCACATAGCCTTGCAGTCTTGATAGATAAACACTGGCAGTAGAGGGTCGTACTGATTAACTCTGTGACTTTAAACATGGCACTGTCATAGGATGCCACCTCTGCTACAAGTCTGTTTGTGAAATTTCTGTCCTGCTAGATCTGCTCCTGTCAGCTGTAAGTGCTCTTGTTGTAAAATGGAAGCATCTAGGAGCAACAACAGCTCAGCCATGATGCAGGAGACCATGCAAACTCACAGAGTGGGGCCAGTGAGTGCTAAAGCACACAGTGCCTATCCTCTGTTGAATCACTCACTAAAGAGTTCCAAATTGCCTCTGGAAGCAACATCAGCAGGAGAACTGTGCATTAGGAGCTTCATGAAATGGGTTTCCATGGCCGAGTAGCAACACACAAGCCTAAGGTAAAAGTGCGCAATGCCAAGCTTCGGGGGAGAGTGGTGTAAAGCCACCGCTACTGGACTCTGTAGCAATGAAAAGAAGGTCTATAGATTGATGAATCACTCTTCTCAGCCTGATGGACGAGTCTGGGTTTGGCAAATGTCAGGAGAACGTTACCTGCCTGACTGCTTTGTGCCAACTGTAAAGTTTGGTGGAGGAGGGATGATGCTATGGGGTTGTTTTTCAGGGTGGCCTAGGCCTTCTTAGCTCCAGTGAAAGGAAATCATAATGTTTCAGCAGACCAAGACATTTTAGACAATTGTGTGCTTCCAGCTTCGTGGGAACAGTTTGGGGAAGACCTTTTCTGTTCCAGCATGACTGAGCCCCAGTGCACAAAGCAAGGCCCATAAAGTCATAACTGGGTGGGTTTGGTGTGGAAGAACTTGACTGGCCCGCACAGAGCCCTGACCTCAACCCCATCAAACATCTTTGGGATGAACTAGAACAGAGACAGCAGTGTCTGACCCAACATCAGTGTCTGACCACACAAATGCTCTTCTGGATGAATGGGCAAGAATTCCCACAGACACACCCCAAAATCTTGTAGAAAGCTTCACAGACGAGTGGAAGCTGTTATAGCTGCAGAGAAGGGGCCAACTCCATATTA